ACCATTTAAGTTAATTAACTCTATCACAATATAACATAATAAGTTTCACCTAAATGACTATAACAAGTCATTAAACATACATCTTATCGTAAAAGAAAAAAGAAACGTTTTCAACAGACAATAAAAAAAAATTTAAAAAAATTGGTAAAACTTCTTAATTAGATTCTTCTAAATTTTCATCATTTTAATTAATAAATGAATTCAAAACTTGCGAAGCACGTGCACGGTTACGTGCGTGTTAAACGAAACATGCACATCCGGTCTCATGTATATATATTCGTGACCAACACGTGGATTATAAATTAGGTAAAACTAAAAATCAGTGAACGTCAAATAATATAAGAAAAGTGACTCACCGTATTTTGATGAAAGCGTAAACTACCCGATCGACGAAGAGTACCACTGCGGATATTTGCAGGTGCAAGTTTCACTTGTCGTCCATCACTGCCACCCCGTCTCGATAATTCCGATAATTCAGCGACTGGTTGCACCTGTAATTAAAAAAAAAGTCATTAATATCGCTATATTAAATAGATTTTACTATTATTTGATTGTAAAAATAAAAAAAATTTTGAGATCTATTTTTTAGTTAATTTAATAATTATTAATTAAATAATAATTAATTATATAGAATAATTAATGACTCACTTTAAATATAAAAGTGAAAATTAATAGAAGTTAATTTACACCCACGACTTTAAATTGTATTATAATAATTGTACTAAAGTTATTGCCCCGATGATTTAAACACTCGGAATATATGTAACTTAATTAATCTAATTATTGCCAATTACTATCTCACATTAAAATATATTGATATCAAAAAAATATAATTATAAAAATTTACTATGAAATACACAATTTTTTTCTGTATTTTCCAAAAATATTTAACATTTTAACTTCTTTGACACATAAAAACACGTCTAAAAAGTGAACGACCTCTTCAGAATTCAGAACAGTTATTTAGCTGATTTGCCAAAAATTTCGCATAATATTGAAATCATATTCGAATTTAACCGCTATTAGAAATTAATTATTCCATTTTCTTCTATTAATTATTATTTTTCTATTAATTATTAATAGATAATTAATTAATTAATTATTTTCTCAAATACATTTTTTTCATCTCTAAAATTTTAAGCAACAAAATCTAATTTTGCACATATAATTAAATTTTTTAATAAATTTTATAATTTTAAATTTTTTTGAAAAAATTCTTTTTATGAGAATTTATAATACCTAAAGGGGGTGAAAAAAAAACGTTTTAGTGAGAAGAGAATAAAAAGAAGAATATAGGGGAGAAAATTAACAATCTTTTCCAAAGAGAATACACGTCATCGCCCTTCCTGGCCCATCGTGCAAAGAAGTTGGCGAAGGTCAGACAACCTTTTCAGAATTGCTAATGAATGAAGACTGACTTGGTGACTCACTAGACTCAACTTACATGGTTCAAGTCGATTCAATGAATTATGGGTCATAACGAAAATAACTCGATTTGCCTTTGTGACTCCGGATAGAAGAAGAAAAAGCTACTAATACCGGAACTAACAATATTCAACTTTGATCCATGTCAATTATTGAATTGGAAAATTAATGCCAGCACTGATTCTAAATTCAAATTACTTCCCGATCCAACTTTCTACCCATCTCCTTATTATTATTTTTTTTTATTATTATAAATAATTATCAATAAATAAATTTTTCAAAAATTAAAAATGCCTCCATAAAATAAAAATAGAAAAGGATATTTCTTTTAAAGAAAAAAAATGTTAGAAATAAAAAATTGTCTGTACCATTAAAATGAAGAATTTGAAAAGGATAATAATTTTTGAAACGAATTACTATGGACAATAAAAATAAGAAAAAAAAATCCCTTGACTTTTAAATAAAGATCAATGAAACTATATTATTCAAGTCACGTGCACACTTGGATGCTTGAACGAGTAATCTATGTCTTATCAAAAGAGTGCGAGATGTATATAATATATAACATGAATATAATTCGACAGCATCCTGCTTCCTGTAAAGCACTACTAGATCATTACAAGCACGTACTTATATGCTATTTATTTCCACTGATGCACAGTTACAAAATTCAAATTTTTTTTTCTAAGCATCTATTCACGTGGTCCACTTTTATACAAATACAATTTAAAAAAATTTAAAAATGTATTTTAATTAAATTATTATAATTTTTAAATATGAATTAAAAAATTTATTTTACTAACTTAGTCAAGATGACTGAAAAAAAAAACTATTTTACTGTGTTATTTCCGTAAACCTCCTTAAACGAACAAAGCGAATAATAAGCGTGACACGACTTTGTTCTAAACTGAAACCTACATTTGCTTTTTTTATTACACATTAAAAATCTAAAATGAGTAAAATATATTTACAACTAAATTACTTAATAATAGCAATTACTAAATAAAAAAGCCGTAAATAGAATTATTACAAAGAAGAGTTAATAAAAAATATATTTTAAACTCTGTTAGATTAAAATTCCAGATTCTTAAAAAAAAAGTTTGATAAAATGATAAAATTGATAAAGAATGAAAAAAGAAATGCAAAATAAAGTTTGCAAAAAGAAGCATAAGAAAATCTTTAAAAAAAATTGAATTTCTATATAGAGAATATGAAAATTAATACATAACATCCTTATTAAAAAATGTTTTTCTAAAGGAAGTTGCAAAAATATTAAATCATTGGCAATCTTGAATATTAGATAATTTGCGCATTGAAAAATAAAGAATTTAAAAAAAAATTATAATTTACATTAAATCTTAATTTGAAAATTTATATTCCCAGTATCCTTATATAATATATAATTTAAGTATCTAATTAACTTTGCTCATTTAATAAAATTACTAATAAATCATTTTTATAACTTTTAAAAATAAAAAGTAAATTCCGTCTTTTTCCATTTCAAAAATTTGATCTATACAATTAAATTTCACCTTTTCACTATGAATAAACTTCAAAATTGATTAAGACTTTAAATTCAGATAAAATCCAGACGCAAATTTGTCAATTTTTCTAAATGTGGAATTTCCTATCAAGATTTCCTGCTTTATTAATTCTTATCAATTTTTTAATTATCAATCTTATAAATGAAAAAATAAGATTACACTACTGTTATCAAATAAGAAAAATAGAAAGAAAAAAATATAAAAATCCCATTTATAACAAATAAAGAAAGAAGAGAAATAAAAAATAGAAAAAGAATGACAAAAATAAAATAATATTCGCGTTGAATAAATAAATAAAAAAGCACCAAAGAAAATAGGAATTAAAAGATCTTTTTCTATATATAAAAAATATATATATATCTTCACCTGAATATCATCCCAAAGTGAAAAAAAAGAAACTAAGAAGCTTACAAACTATATATAAGAGATGAAAAAAAAAAAAAATGCCACACATTTCTAGACTGATCCGATAAGATCCAAGTGTCAATTTCATTCGTTGAGAGTGGGAGACAGAGAGAAAAAAAAATAAAAAGAAAGAACCAGAGTAGAGGAAAAAAAAGATTAAACAAGATGAAAAAGTTGTTTGTTTGAAAAATCGAGCACGTGTTCCGGGGGGCAAAAATAGACGAGAGATACTGATGCGATTTACCGGTTGTACGAGAAAAAAAAAAATACACACAAGAGTATGAAGAAAAGAAGAAAAGAGTTGCTCGGATTGGTTCGTTCGCTTGGCAGAACGGAAGGCCAATGTCCGAAAGGAAAACTTGAACTCCACAATTCTCGAACAATTTGTACCTAAAAAAAAAAAATAAAATAAAATAAAAGAACAGAATTCTCTAACCATACCAGAAATTTTCTGCTCGAGAAAGAGCGTAAATTATTGACAAGTGTTAGAAAATCAAAAATGAATACAAACTAATGATTTAATTTATTTATCTAATTTAATTTTAATTCTTCAATTATTTATTCCGTCTTTTCCATTTATCTATTTTGTTTGTTTAATTTGCGAACATAATTATTTACAAAGAAAGGAGGAATTAATTAGAAGAAAAAAAAAATCTCCTCATTATGAGATTCAATAGACGATTCTATATTAGATACGGTTTTCACTCGATATTATCTAAGGCTAAAAAAAAATCAAAGGAATTTTCATTAACTACAGATGCAGCTGTAAACTCTCGCCTCGTGAAGATTCTTATCGGGATGTATGTAATAAGCGGAAGACGAGTCTCCGACAATGCACCACTATTTCCATCGCGCACACTTTGCTTCCCTCTTATATATATATATTATATATGCATTTGGTTCAAATTACGCTGGGCACATTGTACTAACAATCATCTTATTAAATTTCATTTCTCATCAATATTCTATTTATGCAAAAGCAAGTAAGAAAAATAAATATTTTCTAACATAAAAAATTTTACGTTTATTATTTTTGATAAAAATATTAAATAATTAAACTTTTTGCCAAATAAATAATTTAAAAAATCTTTGGTAATTAATTTCAAAAAGAAATATAATTCTTTTCTACTATTCAATTATTTATTAAAAATAAATTTCCACATATAGAATAGTAACAGTTTATCAACATAATTGCGCAATAAATTTCCCGCATTGCACAAGATTCTTTACGTATAGCGAAGAGTAAAAAAAAATGTTGAAAAAAAGTTCAAGGCATCTTTTATACCATTTTGCAGGTACGATGATCTATTTATATAATCTCTTTACGTAATTATAATTTTTTTATTATACAAAATAAAAATTTAATTTAAAAAATTCAAATCAATTCATAACTTTTTCAATAATCAAGTTTTGGCGAAAGTCAAATTATTTAAACATGTCATTAATAGAAAAAAAAAAAAAAAAATTTCTAATTCTTTTGTTTCGAAAAAATAAAACTCAGCTAATAATAAAAAATTCATGTCACTTGAAGAAAAAACGATGCGTATATATACAATATATATGATTTCAACAATTTTCCTACATATAAAATATAATCAGTAATGACTTATCGTCAGTATGTTACGAGATATTGAAGCAAAACGACTTGCAAAATGAACTCATTATTATATTTGCTACCATTTTCAATTGTGATCGGTGCAATTGGAATTTTAATTTATCTCTATAATCAATTAAATTTTTGGTCAAAAAAAAATATTCCACGAACATCATTATTTTTAACAGTGAAAACTTTTTATCAAGTATTTGGTCAACGTAAATCTCTACCCGAAATTCATCAAATTAATTATAATGCTTTTTCAAATGCACGTTATTTTGGTACGTTAAATTTTTTCACGCCAACAATAACAATTCGCGATCCAGAAATAATAAAAGATGTTCTTGTGAAAAATTTCGATCATTTCACCGATCATCAAAGTTTTGTTGATGAAAAAACTGATCCAGTTTTTGGAAAAAATCTCATATCACTAAAAGGTGAACGATGGCGAGAAATAAGAAATACATTATCACCATCTTTCACAGCTGTAAAAATGAAATTTATGTTCGATTTAGTGTCAATGTGTGCTAAAAGTTTTATCGAATATTTCAATAATCATCCTGAGGAAGCCGAATGTTTTGAGGGAAAAGATATTTTTACTAAATATACAAACGATGTAATTGCAAGTGTGGCTTTTGGAATAAGTGTTAATTCATTGGAAAATAAGAATAATGAATTTTACACTAAAGGAAAGGATGCGACGAGTTTCAATTTTTTTCGCATTATCAAAATGTTTCTTTTTATTTTTTTCCCAAAATTAATGAAATTAATGAGACAAAAAGTGTTACCCAATAAGACGGATAATTTTTTTCGTACTGTCATTAAAGACACTTTACGAATAAGAGAAGAAAAGAAGATTATCAGACCAGATATGATTCATTTATTGATGGAAGCAAGAGATAAGGAAAATGGAATTGATTTATCGATTGATGACATTATTGCCCAAGCTTTTTTATTCTTTTTTGCTGGCTTTGAAACATCATCGACTTTTATGTGTTTTCTTGCTCATGAACTTGCAGTTAATGAACAAATACAAGAGAAATTACGCAATGAAATTGATAATTTAACAGCTGACAATGAAATTTCCTACGATATTGTTAATAAAATGACATATTTGGATATGGTAATTTCAGAAACACTGAGAAAATATCCACCAGCCGCTGCAACAGACAGAATATGTGTTAAATCATTTTCTCTACCTCAAGCTACACCAGACACCAATAAATATACAATAGAACCTAATTCACAGATTTTTATTCCAATCTACGCTTTACAAAATGATCCAAAATATTTTCCAGAACCAGAAAAATTTGATCCAGAACGATTTAGTGATGAAAATAAAGACAAAATTAATCCCTATACTTATTTACCATTTGGTCTTGGACCAAGAAAATGCATTGGAAATCGTTTTGCATTAATGGAAATTAAAATTCTCTTTGTTTATATTTTGAAGAATTTTGTTTTAGAAAAAACTGAGAAAACAAAGGATCCCATAGAATTCGATAATAAATTTGCAATGTCTATCAAAGGTGGATGCTGGATCAAATTAAGAGAAAAAGTATCATTTTATTGACATTTTTTATATAATTAAAAATATTCTAAAAATTTTTGTGAAATATTTTGTGATATTGAAATAGAATGTATAGTCAATTTAAGACTCTTCCTTATAATCATGATAACTAGCATTAATATTATTAAGATAATAGAACAACTGAAAATAAGAGTGAAAACAATAAAAAAAGTCGTCGCGGAGCAACAGTTTTTTCATTTCTTCTATAACCCCCCCAATGAAAACGATGTAGAAATTTACACGACTATAAATACATTATCTACCGTCCTTTAAACGTGCCTCGCCTTTAAATTCTTCATAAATTCCTTAGGTAATGCTTCCCGGCTGGTCAAGATCATAATAATAAATAACAGGTTAGTCTCATTAGTTTGTGGACTTTAAATCGCCATATTTGTTTTTTTTTCGACTTCTCTTCTTCTTCTTCTTCTTCTTTAAAAGAAACTGGTTCTATTATATTATTCTATTATTATACATTCGACTCCGCCTAGACAATCGATTTGTCATTTTTAAAAATCAATATTTCATTCTAAAAAAAACGTTGAAAATTTAATTTCCTTGATAATAGATTTTTAAAACCATAAAATTAAAATAACTAAAAGTTTTTAGAAAAAAGAAAGAAAACTAAAATAAAATCAATCAAAGATTTCCTATAGATAATATCCCAAAAGAAGTAAAAAAAATTTTTTTCGAACTAAAATCGAGAATAATTTTTTTTTTCTATGGGGCAATATTATGCGCGGTGGTCATTTACGTAGATCTTTGAGTTCATTTTACCCTGGCCTTGATCCAAGAATTTTCAACACTCGCGAAGCGAGAATCACGACCTTTGAGGTCTTAAGAACTCCAAAATGTCGTATATATTTCACACGCACGAATCTTTTGAGAATTGTTAATTTTCAGTGTATAAAGGTTGATAGACTTTCCATTGGCTTTGAGCCAGTTTAGCAGGAAGCCAATTTGCGGAACGCACTCTAATATACCAATATTCCCGTTTCATTTATAGTTTGTCACTTTTACTTCTCGTAAATATTTTGCATCTCATTCGACATAACTGTGGCGCCACTATAAAAAAAACAACAATTTTTATCCAATTCACGATAAACGCAAAAATATTTTCGATTACAATAATTACTAATTTTTTTAAATTAACATCGAAATGAAAAAAAAATATCTAAAAATAATTAGAATAAATATTTAATGACTAGGAAAAAATATTCACATTTATAGCGAATTTGGGAAAAACATCTCTCGCGAAATATGAAAGCTATATAACTGCCTGTAATAGTTGTAAAATAAAATGAATAATGATCCTGGCTCCTTGAAATTAAAGGTCTATGAAACAACTTTCGACCTATTCCCTGTGGTCTCCTCCTTGTATATCGACCTCTCCAAGACCTCGAATGCGCCTTTCACCAACCACATTTTCTAGCAGACGCGACGATATGACTTTTGTAAGTCGCGACAAATCTTAGATACGTATTCGCGATATTTATACCTCAACACATGTGTGGAGCAAACAAAATTATATAAATATGACAGTCGAATCTAAATAACGAATAATTTTTCAAAGCAAATTGAAAATAACAAATTTTATCAAGAAAGCAAAGATCGTCAACAATAATAATAAATTTAATTTAATAAAACAATATTCCCTTTTTTTTCTTATCTCGAATAATCAAATTTCAATCCTACGATATCAAAAAGAAAGATTTCATTTCATCAACAAAGAGTTGAGAAATTTGTAAAATTATCCTCTTCTACAAAGTAAACTTTAATATGATTGAGATAGGTCACTTAATTCCCATGTCTATTTGGCGTGTATTCAAGCAGGTTAAGCTTCTCTTTGAATAACACGAAAACATAAGAGATCAATTTCTAAATATAAACGATCCAAATGAATTAATTTCACTCGTATTACAAAAGCAGAATTTGCAATGGAAACACTATAATTATTTAATAAAATTAGTGTATATTTTTATAATAAAAAAAATAAAAACATAAAATAAAAATGAGAATAAAAAAATTAACAAGATAGTAAAAATTAATAAAAAAAAAAAATTTTTAAATAAAAATAACATGCAAATTCAGTCTATTTTCTATTCTAAAGCACTTTTTAATGTCCATGTATTATTGAGGAATGTACACCGCGAGTCAGTAATAAAGGTTGCATAATGAATCAGTCAGTGGTAATAACAAACAAGATAAAGCAAATTGCATAGAGAGTGCACCGTCTCTAATGCGAGTGTAGAGCAAGAGAGCTCGATAAGTCAATGTCTTATCGAAGAAGGAAGTCGATGACTTTTCATGTTTTATAGTCCGATTCTCAATATAGGAATCTTTAACCGAAAAATAAACAAGAGGGAGGAAAGAATCTCGATTACTCTCTCACGAGATGAGAATGTTGCAAAAGTATATATACAAGATTCGGAAATAAAAGCGAGAGATAAATCTCTATTCTCTCTCTCTCTCTGGGTTACGGTAAACAGAACGATGACTGTTAGAAAACTTAATGAGTGATGTCACGAAATCATACAACGATTCAAATCCCTATTGAATTTTCTCAGAACCTTCGCGTGACTAAAACGATTCGTTTAAATCTTTTGTTGCACTATTCAATTTACACTAATTCTGTATGACTTTTGAAAAATTTAATACATATTTTTAAAAAACAATCAAAAAAATATAGAAGCAAAAAAAAAAATAATATTTTTAGCAAATAAAAAATTAGCTTACCTTGACCGTGACACTGCCACCGGAACCCTTTATAAGATCGATGATCTCCTCTCGTGGTTTGTCATCAACGCTGATTCCATTGACCTCAATAAGTCGATCACCGGGTAATAAACCGGTATCATTGATATTTTGCACTAAAGCACCAGGTTCCGCGAAAGTCACTGAACGCATTTGCGTGACACCATTGGGACCACGTTCCACAATCACAGCACGACGTAAAGAAAATCCAAAATCACATCTCGGTGGTGGTTGCCGTTGAATGGTGAGTTCCCTTGGTTCTGGTAATTCAAGTGGTACAATTTCGGGCAATGGCAATTCAACAATACCCTGCTCCTCAAATGAGGCCGACGACCTCCATCTCGAGAATCCCTGAGACTCTCCAACGGGCGACAAACTAAAGGGTGGAGTGGCAAAGCTCGAGTTAGTCGTGTCCGTCAATGAATCCGCGGAGGGGCTCGCACTTGTCACAACCTACGTTTAAATGAAAAATTATAATAAAAAATAATTACAAACTTATTGAAAATAGAAAAAAAAAAAAAAAAAATGTCCACCTACTTGAAGGAGTTTAGTATCCTGCTGTAAATGATGATGATGATGGTGATGATGATGATGAGGACTTCGTCTTTGATATGAAGATTCCTCTTCACTACATCCTTCATTATTCAATCCTAAAAGATGTTGACTGGGAATATTTTGATATGCAATTACTTCATTTTGAAGTGTATTTCTGACTAAGAGGTTAGCTTCCTGATGATTATTCTCCTGATTGCCATTCGGCACGATGTTGCTCTCACTTAGAATACTAACGCTCGTGATACTTAGCCGTGGACCTTTTAATATTCCACGTTTAGGTGGCTTGGGTGGTAATGGCGGTAAAAGTTTACCACCAGTATTTGTTAATGATGTGAGCGATGCCTCTGATGAATCACTTTGCGTAAGACCATCAGGAATTCGTGTCCAACTTGTACCAGCTGAATTTTGTGAATTATCCAACAAATCCCTGTCCAATTGGGCAAAAAATGATGCGCTATAGTCGGCTGTTATCCCGCTTGGCAACTTTTCCTTCTCCTTTCTACGACCGCGAATCTTCAAGGACCTTCGCACCTGTATTAAAGCAAAAGAACAAGGAGAGAGAGAGACTGTTATTATAGCGATTAATCATGCCAATGGAATGCGTTACCATAACTACTACTGCAAGGATCATTTGCTGTTACAGATTAAAACAATTTCAAATCACTTATTTCGTTTATATCAAGACATTTATTTTTAACTTTTTTTCATTTAAAATTCAAACTAACAAATTCCAATTTTTATAAAAATTTTAATTTGAATTTTATTATAAAGAAAATGATTGAAAAAATTTCGATACTTGAAGCAAATAATGCTCCAGTGACGGCGAGAGTAATTGGAGCAAAAAATAAACATAATGATCGGTCGGGTCGTATTTTATTTATTTAAGAATTAGCTTTCTCCAATCGGTTTTTCTTTGCTCTAATAACAGTACCATTATACCAGTTCAGAATCATTTTCAATGAGAGTAAGAGTAAACCTTGGGAAGAGGATGAGGTTTACTTCCACTTGCATCACGCAATTTGGATCATAACAATATATATAAACAAGATAATTTGTAATCGGTCATGCACGAAACACATTTCGTCACAGGGAAATTGAAAAATGATGAGAATCAATCTTAGATAAAACATTTGTTTACTTTCATTATGATCATTTATAACAAAAATGAAAGTAAACATTAAAAATCGATCATATTTGAAATTTTTCTATTTTATTAAACCTAATAAAATAGAAAGAAGAAAAATCAACCCCTTTATGAAAATAATTAAATATATACAATCATAAATTTTCATCATCTTTCTTTTACCAAGATTCATTTTTCAATAGAAATATAAATCAACGTACTGTTATCTGTGACGATAAATAAAAAAAAAAAAAAGTGAAAATATCTTCTTGTCTAAATATTATTCAATCTAAAAAAATGAAACTGCAATAAAAACATTTATATCAAAGTCCAAAGGTTGGAAAATTTTTCTTTCACGATAATGTCAAATTTTCAAATAATTTTTCCATCCATCAAAATAGAATTCTAGAAGTTTTTCTCTTTATTAAAATTTCAATATTTAAATTTTACCTCCATAAGTCGAAATTCTGAAAAATTTCACTTTGCATTGTTGACAAAAAAAATTTGAAGATTTTTAAGAAGATCCTAACTAAACTGAAGAACGAATTTTTTTTTTTTTGCAAAATTGATGTTAAATAAGAAATATCACCAAAAGAAATTTTACAAAATTGTAAAATAAATTTTTTGCGAAATGAAAGGACAAATATTGCAAAAATTAAAGAACAAATATTGCAATCTTGTGCGACAAGTGCAAAAAAAATTCAACACAATGTCATATGAAGAGATAAATAAATCAATAAATAAATGTTCCATTAGACCATAAATCGATAAAAACTATTTCCTGATATAACAGCAAATTGTTCTCTCTGATTCCATTAATTATTTTCATATCATTGAAACAAGTGCTGACTCAACATAAAGCTTTTAAATTTCAAAATATAGGAAACACATAGAAATTTTCTGATTCTAATATGACCTTGAAAAAAAAAAAACACAAGAAACCTCACCTCGTCGAGCCGAAGAAGTTCTTCAGCAGACATACTGCCACGATCTCTTTTTTTCACATCCTTTCGTTCTTTTTTCTCTCGTTTCCTTTTCTCCTTGTCTTCCTTCTCAGCAACTTTTTTCATAAAATTGAACATTTTTTTCACTATCGTAAACTCTAGGCTTTCCCAGACAAGAATCGATGATTCTCAGCACACATCACACACACCCCTTTTTTTCTAATTTCTCAAGATTGTAAAAATTACACTAACCGTATATCTCACGCGATATTCAAATTTTTTTTCAATAAATAAGAACAATAGAATTAACTTTTTATGATCACTTTCACTTTTTCTGCCCGGTTTAACAACTGACCGCCAACAAATCGGGGGATGTGATTACTCCAAAATTTCCAAGGGGCGTGGAATTTCTCCCGGGACGGAGACGGCGCTCCTCTTTCACAGCACACCATTAAATTCCACAGAATAGGAAAAGACAACGCGATAAGACTGCGAATCATTAAACCACAACATTCCTTTTACTTTGAGACACGCAAGACCGCAAAAATTTTCCGGCATGGACGCGGGTACATTAGCTCTCGTCCTGACTACACCTCACTCTCTTTCTCCCTCTCACTCTACCTGAAGGAGCACATTCGTGTAAATAACACGAGGTTAACGTTCCATTGATTCTCAATTAAAATGAATTCCGTGACAATGATTTATTATTTTTTTCCTGTGTATAATTTTGAGGTTAACTTTTATCCTAGAGGTTTCCTAGCTCTGAAATTCCGCACTTGGAATGAAACTGACAGCTAGGAACATCAACATATACAACGTCTATACATGAAATAAAAATGTTGTTATCAACTCGACAATGATATTTTATTTAACTTGAATGCGAGAACAATTCACGAGCTAATTATGAGATTATTTCTAGATAAATTACAATATACACACGCGAAAAACATGAGACAGAGACAACACGTTCTTAACGTGCACACACTTACTGAAAACTGTCATGGCAGCTACTAGTTTCGTCCTTCACCCCGCAAAAATTCAACCAATCAGAGACTACTTCCAGCGCATGCGCTGGAATTCAAAACTTTCTCCATCTTTTAATTCTAAATTTAAACTCATCGAAACTTAATAACTCAAAAAGTAATTAATTTATAGAACCTATTTTTTAAATATTGTTATTTAATATCTTAATTTTTGAAAATCCAAACAATTTTCAAGTATCTATAACAATTCCTTGAAAAGAGAAAGATGTTTTTTCAGTTGTAGGTAATCATGGGAAATCGTTTTGAGCGACATCTATTGAAAACCGCGGGAAACTTTAAAAAATTTAAAAAAACAAATTACCAAAAAAAACTATCAAATTCCTATTTTTCGTTAAAATTAGTTTAACAAAATTCTTAATATTTATCAAAAACATGATAAAATTATGAATAATTAAAAAAGAAGGAAAAAAAATCTTCAATCTGTTTCAAAAAATTATCAATAGATGGCATCAATCATATAAAAATTGAAGGAAATTTATTCTCTTCTGCTCTCTCAGAGGAGATGGAATAACAATGATGTTGCTCCGAAATTTTATAAGAATCCGTCCTAAATACAGTTTAACGTTTAAATTTAAATCAAATAATGAAAGATTATTTATACGCCATTTGTGTACAATAAATCAAAAAAATACAATTGGCGACATTATTAAACGCTGGCATCAACGATTTGAAGACGAAAATGTTTCAGAGCCAATCGAATCTATTGAACACATTGTCTGCCATGTGATTGGCAAAAAAAAGGTACAAAATTTAATTTAAAAATTTAATTCTTAAAAGAAGCATCTAGTAATGACAAATTTTCAATTTCACTTAAATTTTTTGTTAGAAAATATTTAAATAAAATATTATCTAAACATTTAAAAAGTTTAATTAAGTAATTCAATTATAAAATATGTATAGAAAACAATTAATGTTTTCATATCATTCTTTTAACATGCAGATAATGGACCTTGGAGGTCTACAAGAAAAGGAACTCACATTAAATGAAATAGAAAAACTGGAAATGCTTTGTGAATGCAGATTTGCAAGGTAATTAATTGATAAATATTATCATTTAATTCTTAAACGTAATTCACGTCTTTTAAAATTAATTCTTTCAAATAGAAAAACAACTTGTTCTTTACTAGAAGAAAAGCTTTTCTACTTTTTTAAATTTTCATTATAATTTTCACATTTTTATATTTTATTTCATTTAAATAATATAAATATTCTCTCCAAATAAATAAAAAAATATAAAAAAGACTTGAAAATTATAATAATTCAAGAAGTAAAACTTATTGATTCTAAATTTTTTTTAGATTTAAAAAAAATATATAAAAAATTGCAAATGTCGTTTCAATTTAAATGCATTAAAAGATTATTGACTTACGGGTATTATCGAGTTTCTTCTTATCTTCAAACGCAGATTAAACTGAAATCATCTGTTTTTCCAGAATGCCAGTACAATATATTATCGGAGAATGGGACTTCCGAGATATCACGTTAAAATTAGTACCACCAGTATTCATTCCACGACCAGAGACTGAAATTTTAGTTGATTTTGTACTGAAAAGAATATCCGCCGGTAATTTTAATGATTCCTGTGATATACTAGAAGTTGGTTGTGGCTCTGGTGCAATTTCCTTAGCTCTTTTACATGCCTGTAACAAGGTAAACTTAATTAATAATTAATTAATTATAAATAAATTATATTAATTATCCATCAATTTCAAAATTTAATAATAATTTACCGTTTAATTACAGATTAAGACTTTGGCTATCGACACAAATATTCATGCTTGTAATTTGACGATCGAAAATGCTAAAAATTTAAAACTCGATGATCGATTGACAGTGATTAATGCCACACTACAAGATGATGCAACAATTAAAAATTCATCAGATGAAAATTCTGTTGACTTAAATGACGAGAAATTTGACTTCATAATTAGCAATCCTCCTTATGTGTCAACCAAACAAGTTTTCAGATTAATGCCTGAAATAAAATTGTAATTATTTATAAATTAACTTTTCTTATATGAAAACAGTGAAAAAATTATATTTATTATTCTTTATAAAAATTAAGTAACAATCGAATGAAAAATAATTATTTGCAGATACGAGGATGTGAGAGCATTGGACGGAGGTGATGACGGATTAAAAGTCATAAAACCATTATTACATTACTCGTCAAAATCTTTAAAACCAGGAGGTCGACTTTTTATGGAAATAGATCCTGCTCATTCTGAGTACATACAATTTTTTACCGCAAAATATACAAATTTAAAACTCAAATATGAACACACATATAAAGATTTTTGTAATTATGATCGATTTGTCGAGGTTTCAAAAATATAAACAATATGCAAACAAAAATTAAACTTACATAAACATTGTACATAGAATATAATATAAATTAAACGAAAGACTAAAATTTAATTTCCAGAAAAAAAATTTTCATTTTGTATTTTATTTTTTAATTAATTTAATTTTTCTGATTTTTAATTTTTTATAATTTTTTAATTTCCCAAAAACTAAACGTTTATCAATCAATAAAAAAGAGAAAGTTTTAGCAAAAAATAAAAATTAGAACAACATTTTTTATCTCATTCTATGAAAAAAATGTACTCACAAAACGCAAATAGCGCGTGCTATTTTCAAATGCGTTACGGTTCGCTTTTCTATTTTCATTTTCTCTGTTGCAAAGTGTGAATTGCTACAAAGTACAAATTGCAGTAAAGAAATAATGATGTCGTTCAGAAATATTTTTAAAATTCATTCTGAATATTATAGTTTAACGCATAAATTGATGTTAAATATAAAAAGAAGTTCTCCAAAATTGACTCGCGATTTTTGTGCAATAAGTAAAAAAAATACAATCGGTAACATTGTCAAACACTGGAATCAACAATTTGAAGATAAAAATATTTCAGATCCTATTGAATCAATCGAGTACATTGTTGCTCACGTGCTTGGAACGATAAAGGTAATTATATAAAATATTTTTATTAAAATACTTTTAGACGAAAAAATAAAAAAATTATAACAAATTTTTAAAATAAAGATAAGGCAACTCGGAAGTTTACAAGAGAAAGAACTTACGACTGATCAAATAGAAAAAATAGAAATGCTTTGTAAACGCAGATTAGAAAGGTAATTTTTTAATTAACAAAATAATAAATTATTAAATTAATAAAATACTAAATAAATAAAAATTATCTTTAAATTCTCGAAAAGAATTTATATTTGTCAGAGTTAATTTTAATTCCTCTGAATTATATTAAGAAATAATTTAACAAAAAAAATATTGACTTACTGCGGCTTTAAGTTTCTTTTCTTCCTTCCTCGGAATTGAAATCATTTTTTTCCAGAATACCAGTACAATATATTATCGGCCAATGGGAATTCCGCGATATTATTTTAAAATTAGTACCTCCAATATTTATTCCCGAGCCACAGACTGAAATGTTAATAGATTTTGTCCTGCAACGAGTATCAGCCAGTAATTTTACTGATTTTTGTGAAATACTCGAAGTCGGTTGTGGAACTGGTGCAATTACATTATCCCTTTTAAATGCCTGTAACAAGGTAAATATAATTAATTAATTAAATTATGACTCACATTAATTCACTTAAAATTTAATAATAATTTACCAATATATTATTTGTAGATTAAGGCATTCGCCATTGACACAAACATTGATGCTTGTAATTTAACACTAGAAAATGCTAAAAATTTAAAAGTCGATGATCGATTGACAGTAATAAATGCCACATTAAAAGATGATGGAACAATCAAAGTTTCATCAGAGGAGAAAAAATTCCTCGACTTTAATAAAAAAACATTTGATTTTATAGTTAGCAATCCGCCTTATGTGACAACGAAGCAATACGTGAAATTTCTACCTGAAATTAAACTGTAAATATAATTTTTCAATTAAAAAAAAAAAGAAGTGAAATTCAAACAAAAAAAAATTACATAAATATTTGTAAATAAAAATATTTTGTAAAATTGCATAATAGAAATTAATTTCTATATTTTTTTTAATATAGAAATATTTTTCTTGAAGATTAGAATTTGAGAATGTAATTATGCAATTTTACAAATTAACAATTAAATGAAAAATAATGATTTTTTTTGTAATTTTTAGACATGAGGACATAAGAGCCACGGACGGTGGTGCTGACGGATTAAGAGTCGTTAAACCACTTTTGAATTATTCTGCAAAAGCACTAAAACCTGGAGGTCGCCTTTTTATAGAAATAAATCCCGTTAATTCCGAATATATACCATTTTTTACAACTATGAATACTCATTTGAAACTCAAACACGAGCACACATACAAAGATTTGTCTAATTTTGATCGATTTGTCGAACTTTCAAAGTTAAATTGAGCGCTCTCGAAAAAAAAATCATTCAAAATCATTCGTTCGTTAAAAATCGAATATTTGTAAACAAACATTCATACAAAATAATAAAAAATTCAACATACATAAATAATACACAATCATACATACATAAACATAGTAAAACACAATAATAAAAATAAATCAAAGACTAAAACCTAATTTCGCCAAAAAATTAGTTTTACATTTCTTTATCTCTCGTACTTTAAATAATTTAAAAAAAAAACTACACGAATCTCTTTTTAAAATATAAAATAAAAATTAAAGAGATATATACAGAAAAAATCAACTAACAATTTCCATGAAAATAGTGGTTTTATTTCCAAGGTAATACTGTTGAAACAATGGCATTAGATTTTAGTTTTGCACATTGTTGAGCACCAAAAATATTTAGTCATTGATCAATATATGTGTAATTCTAATTTTAATGAAGAAAATTTGCATAAAAATTTTCTTTTTAATTTCGATAAAAATATAAAAAAGCCAAATTTATAAGGCGCAATAGCACTAAAAATTTAATACAAAATGGTCATCATCATTATCTATTAAACGAATATTTGATACGTTGTACATGTTTTTATAAAAATAGACAGATAATTCAATTGATTAATAAGAAATAATTTTGTTTAAACTAAATAATAAAATGTTCAGTCAATAATTAATAACAATGGCTGAATTTTTTTGTATCACTATATGAAAATTGACGATCTTTATAGAGGATGAAGAAACAAAAACCGATAAATCAACTTTTCTAATTGCAAACAAAAAAAGAAAATTCTTTGCAAAATAAAGTGAATTTATCGATTTTTTTTATATAAATCTTTAATCCTCTATTATTATTTATATAATAATTTATTATTTAATAAAGTGATAATTAATACTGCTATACTTTCATATTGACACGGAAATATAAACCTATTGCTTGCTTTTTATTTAAAAATAGTAATGTGCGCTTTATAAATTGTTAAAAACTTTTGTTTTATTTATGTAAAAAAGCACATATTTGAGTAGCAAAGAGTTGAATAAAAAAAATTCTAGGCACTTTATAGGCACAATTATCCTGCAATTATTCGTATATATTTAAAAAATTAAACTCAATTTTTTATAAAAGCTCACAAAGGTCCGTGAAAAAATGAATAAGTACACACGGAGACAATCATTCTTTTCTAATGAAGCACTGTGACTCGACTATATGTATATATATAAGAATTCTACTGCCTCTTGGGCAATTTAAAGCTACGTATGTAATTCGCTATGTATATATATATATAATTAAAATTCTTCTACTTAAACCTACGAACCACTGGTGGTATTAAATGAAAGCCAATATATTTTAAAAAAACAACGATTTCTAATAAATTTCATTTTTCGTGCGATTCAATAAAATGATTTCATTTTAAAAAGTTCATTAAAATAAAGTCTCGCTTGTAAAAGGAGCTATCATAAAAATATTTCAATTCATTCATTGTACGAAAATGTCTTCGTATAATTACAAAAAATATATATGCTTAAAAAATTACTCTATTGATTTTAAAGAGAATTATTTTCAAGAGACGAAAATTTTCCTGAAATATATTGTGCAAGCTCAAGCAATTACAATAAAATTCTCTGATAAAAATTTAATTGATTTGAAATTAGTAAAGTTATTTCGAAATTTGAAATTTAAAATTTTGGAATATTAAAATTTCGAGAAAAAAACTTGGTGCACTTAAAACAAGTGTCTCTTTCTTTTTTTTATCACAAAGTCGTTTCTAATTGAGATTGTATTTTATACTATATATGACTTGTATCGTTGTCCTTATTATAACGACTTTTATCCGATTGCATAGCAATTTTCGACGATTCAGCAAGATCAGCGAGAAGAAGTGATTCTCCATCGGCTAAATCCACTAAGCTTTGTTTATTACTTTCGATGCTCCTTACAATTTTACCAATTGCCCTTGCCTCTCGTTGTTTTTCCCTTTCGATTTTCAATTTTGTAAATTCATCCATTGACTCATCCTCAGACGAATGCATCAGACTTGCATTACTACGATTGTCATCGTCATCCTCCTCATTTAAATCATTAATAAAACTTGGATCGTAAAGTGCACTCGATCTTGCAGATTGTGATGGTCGATTTCTGAAAATTGAAAATAAAATTTGTAACTATTCCGTTAAATGAAATGGAAAAACAAGTTTTCAAAAATATTTATTTTTTACCTCGATGCTGATCGTGAAACGCTAGCGCTTCGACAGCGAGCTGTTCCCGCGGGTGCGCTACTCGATAATAAATGTCCATTACGATGTGAGTAATCCTTTGCACCAGGAACATCAATTGAAGCACTAGGAGGTGGGGGTCCTTGGGGGAAAATAGAATTCACATGTGGCCGATGTTCGGGTCGCATCGACGTCATTGTCATTTGCTCGTCCACTTCTTCGATCACACCTATTCTCATCGATCCTCCAGGACCTAGAAGAAAAATCACACAAATTAAAAACAATTCAATAAATTAAATTTTAATTTGTACATAAAAATTATATTTAATTATATATGTCTTTAAATTTAATTTTTGTCGATTTAAAAAATTACTCACCAACTTGACGTTGATTTTGAAGCGAGGCCGCTGAACTCGAACTTGGAAGATTTCCTGGAGTTCTACCACTCGCTCCATCGGGTCGATCTTCTTTGCTAAACATTCTTTTAAGTACACTAGTGACACTTCCTATCCTTGTCAATGATCCTCCAATGTTGCTTGGAGTTGAGCCAAGACTCATATTCCTCTCTCTCTGACTAATTCGACTTGTACTCCTAAAAAGAAAAACATACGTAATCATATAATTTCATAATCGCAACATGACACAGAGATTCATTCTCAACAGTAAACAAATAACTCGGATTTATTTACTCAAATAATTGATTTTCAATACAATAAATAACAGTCCGGAACGAAAAAAAAAACGAGTCACAAGAAATTCTTTAGAGATACTTTATGATAGTAAAAAAAAAATACCTTGAGATTTTTCCAGCATTGAAATGAATCCCTGAAACAGCATCATCAGCAACGTCTGAACGAATTATTTTCGATTGATAATCCGGTGGTACCATTTCATCGATTCTTACTGATGAGGGCAAAATTTCTTGTTGCGCTGCTGATAGTTGAATATTTGCCGTCGAAGGCTCAGGATGCTCTTCTCTGAAAGCTTCAGAAGCAGCTGTGTAAGGAAGCTCTATAGGGAAAACTTCGTCCCAATATTGATCTCGAATCAATTGAGGATGCTCGTGATGCATCTCGTCAACTATTAAATAACTCACCTGTAAAAAATTCGAATCGATAAATAATAATTAATAAAAAAATCAATAAAAATAAAATTTTACCTGTAGATTACGATCGATAATCCAATTAACTTCAAAGTCATCGTCGTCCTCGCCAAATGGATTAATCAAAGTCTCGGCAACTTTGAGCCAACCCATATAGAAGAAAAATCGAAGAGTAGTGAAAAATGGAAAATAGAGATCAATCGCAGACATGGATTTATTTTCAACCCACTGTCCACCCATAACACTTGATATGAAATATGAATAAACAGCTAAGGTAACAACTTGCGTGTAAACGAGTGGTATACTGATATTATCATATTGTATCAGACTACCACAATTTCCGCGAAACTTATTTAGCTCATCAATCAACGTTTTCACCGCAAAATCATCTCGTATTCGACCTTCTTTACGTGCTCGTGTAACAATACTCGACGCCCATACAATTGGCAGCCAATGTTTACTTGGTTTGGGAAATTTTTGATTTAAACTCTGAAATATTGCTAATTCATTCTCGAGCAATAAACCGGCATCAACAAAATGATCTAATGTTGGAAAACGTTTTTTAACTCGTGGCGAAACATTCGTGAGGACAAGTGTGAGACAAACGCACACGTATCTAGAAAAAAAAGTAAATTATAATTACAATTTTTTTTCAAATAATTAAGAAATTTTCTCTAATATTGATAAAAAGAATTTGAAATATAAATACAATTAGGAATAATTAAAGTAAATGTAAATAGGAAAATAATTTATTTGAAAAAAAAATACCTTACGATGGTACGTCTCATTAATCTTCCTCTTTCATCATTGCCATGAATGGTGGCTGAGACATAAACAGCTATTGAATCAGGCCAGGGAATCGAGGTATATTGATTCCACCATCGGGTCATAACTATTGTCACGTAAAAACCCATGACAAATGCCAATGGGATGTAATCCGAGTACTCATTGCAATATACGACAATGTACTCAAATATTTTCTTCTGACGATCATCGAGAAGGAATAAATACGTCGCCGATAGGGAATAATAAATAATAAGAAATATAGCTAACTCTAACCAAACTAGTTTGTAAATACTAGCTCGCCACCTGAAACAAATAAATTTAAATATAAATTAAATTTTTATTTAAAAAAATATAGTAATTAATTTTAAAAAATTTTAATCTTTTTTTGCTTTTTATTAAAAAAGTTTCAGCCTAATTAATAAATCAATTGAATAGCATTAATTCCATGCAACAATGTTGCAGAATTTAATTGCGAAATATAATTCTTAACTTTCAAAATCTATTTGTCAACAAAGTATGATTTGATACGAGGTCTATTCGACTTTATTAACTAGTGACGGAAATGACGTAAAAGTATATTTGAAAACGCATAACGCATCATGTTTTATGCACTAGAAATTCTTTATCGTAATGCACGAATAACCACAAAGGATTTCAACAACGATATTTTAAACGTGACTGTCATTAATGGTTAAAAAAAAAATTACTACGAATTCCTTATTTGTTTTACGAGTCATTTCTTATTTTAAAACGTTCAAGTCACTTCCATAATACAAGAGTCTTTCATTCAGATATTGAATATCCGCATTTAATTGAAAATAACTTTGAAATTAACATTAAAATTAAATTCAAAATTAAAGTTAAAATGAAAAAAATTGTTTAAATTAAAATTCGAGGAAAATTAAATTTAAAAAGTAAATATTTTATTTTTTATTGAAACTGATGAAGAAAAAAAATGATTCTTTAAAAAATTTCAACTTTACAAGAGAAAATAAAATTTCAATGTGAAGAAATCAATGAATTATAAATTGGATGTAAATAGCGGTGTGGACGAACTCTGATTCAGAGCCAGATTCATTATGAGATTGAAAATAAACTGACGACAAAATGTCTCCGAGCACCGGACTACAAATCATGTGCAGTCATCTCGCAATCTTACACCTGGCAAAAATTATATTTGAAACATAGGTGTACATTTATTTTAAGAACATTTTCAGCTTTTAATTCCCGCAACAGTGTATACAATTAACAATTTAATTACCTTGAAGTTAAAAATTTACCTAATGTTCGTATAATAAACAAAACAAAATACAACTTAAATATAAACTATTTATAAATATTTACTATATAATTACTTTTTCCTCTATTCTACTAAACTGAAAAAGTTCAGAAAGAAAAACAATTAAAAATTAAAATATGTCAGTTATATGATCCATAAATTCTAAAGAATTATTTTACTCTTTGAGAGGAAGCAACGAAGAATTTAGTATAAATTTTTTCTAATTTTGCGTGACAAATTACAAAATGCGGTTAACTTACACTAAAAGAAAATGAGACACGCGATATTAAACTTGACATAATTCAAAAGCGAATTCATTTCATGATTCTAAACATTTCGAATATTATCTTTAAATTAATTTTACTTTTGTTATTTAAAGAATCATCAAAACGAATAAATAAATTATTTTATTGATAATTTTAATATTAAATTCAAATTCCTAATTCAATTTAAATTTCATTAATGAAAAATTTTACAATTCTGAATTTTTTTTCAACAAACTGTGTATATAAATTTTTTCTGTCAATGAAAATTTGTTTTCCTTGCACGACCTTATCTGCGAGTGTGATAACTGTTTAAAAATTAGCACAAATAGAAATAAAAATACGTAACTAGAACGACAATATATCTGTTAATTTTTAATAATATTTAAAATATCGATAAAAATTTTCATTTTTTTATGAAAAAAAAATTCGTATTGAAACAAAATATTGTTCTGCAAAAAAAAAAAAAATTTGCAAACATAAATATAAATTCAGTGTATAAATTTTGTATGCTTATAAAAGTTCTAAATATAAAAATAAGAATAAAAAGAGCAACAGAACCATTTTTTGAATATATTTACCAAGTCGACAAAAAAATTTTATATTTGAATTTCATACACGAAAGTGAAGTTTGCAAAGCCATTGATTATGCATGTATATATCTTATTCGTAGAAACATTCATGACACCATTTCACACATCGATCCTGTTTGACTGTATAATTATTATTATTGCCTCAACTGGTTTTAAATATAAAATATAATTTTAGAAAAATATATTATTTACTGTTTAATAAAATCATTTAGTAAATAAAAAAATATTTATTACAGTCATTTGTGAAATAAAATAAATTGAAAAAATATAAAAATAAACTGTGGTAAAACATATAATATATCTACAGGAAATATTTCGCGATATGATAGCGTACAAGATAAATTTGTACAAAACGGAAGTGCTCAATTCCAATAAATTAAGTAAAATCATGTAATTCTCAAAATGATTTTTACGAACGAGACCTATTTCAATCAATTGACCTCAGACTAAAGATAACATTGTTAATGCAAATTAGTTCAATGCATTAAAATGATACATAATCATCTGTTAACAATTTAGACTAATATTAAATTTTCAAATTGTACAAATAAAATAGAGATAAAAAAAAATCAAAAATATTAAAATTATGATTGTAAAGTACAAACAGCTGCATTATTTCGTTCCTGTTTACTTTCACATTGACTGATAATGTTAATGAGAATAATGTGTCTTTTAATCAAAACCATTAAAATCGTGACTCACTTGACTCAAATAAATGACAGAAATTTATTTTTCAAATATCATATCCATTCAATGATTATTATAAATAAAATAAAAATTCACGACTTCCAAATTTTGGTATTTCATTTTAGAATTTTAAAAAATATTCCAAATATATTATGCTATAATTTTAGAAGACTAAAATTAGTTCTAAAAAAAAACAAGAAGTTAAATAATTAAAAGCAGGACTGATTGCATGATAAAATAATTAATAAGCCACAAGATAGAATAAATTGACAATGTTTGGTATTTGTGCAAAAGGTTTCCTTGATTCAGACTAGCTATGTATGTATCTTATAATCAGTTTCTAGGAACGAGCTATGAAATTATTCAATAGATCTTCCATCTTCTCTCTGATCATGTAGCATTTGTGGAAATTTTTTCAGAAAATTACAGTTCAAAGATCATGAATAAAAAAACAAATTGTCATTGAATCACAGCTTCAATATAGATAATGTAAAAATTTACAAATAAATAAAATAATATATAAATAATAATATTAATTATAATAAATTATAGGAAATTAACTCACCTAAATAATAATTTTAAAAAGCAGCCCAGGCCCTTGCAAGTGGCAACTTCGGCTGTATAGCTAACCGTCATCCTTTATCAGTCGTTAGAAAAATCAAATAATTATAATCCTCCCTCGACATTAGGCACTTGTAGCCTCAACTGAAAAGAAAGATTTAATTTTATTAAAATTGAAACAATAAAAAAATGTCAATTCTAAATTTTACATCTTTTTTTATAACGAATTATTTTTTTATTTCATTTATTTGCAACATTAACTTTTTAATTAAATACCATTAGATATCCTGCTTTACCAAGGTCACAAACGCTCATATTATAAGACTTAACTAACATATTATTTACTTCTATTCTCGAATATCGTAACAACGAATCCATCATTCAAATATTACAATTTTTTTTTTAAGCGTCTGAAATAATATGTATTAACAAAAGTCTATTTGCATAAATAAAGCAAGGTTGTTTCGTTGTCATTAAAGTATCATGAAAAAGATTTTTTTTTCTCACAATAATTGTATTTTTTATGCTGATTTAAAAAAAAACAATTTCCACTTAATAAAATTTAAAGTTGATTATTTAATTAGTTGAAAAATTAACAAAACAGTTAATTGATGAATAATGACCTCGGGCGTTTGTCACGTGAGTATAGTTTACTCGCGTGGTTCAATTAACTGTTTCTCAGCTCCAAGAATGGAAAAACTGAGACAGAACAAGTTTTTCTTTCTTTGCAAACGAGATTGACAGTGTGATGCTCAATTACAAGTTTAGATGTTCTAATAAAGAGAGTAAGTTCTTGTATATAGGAAGAAAAATTAACAATGTCAACAATGAACAAAGCCATTATTGACAAGTGACACTAAGATATGTTTTGTTTTTAATTATAAAATAACTGTGATTTATAAAAAAAAAAATTTATAATGATAAAAAACAATACAATAAAAATGACAAAACCTTACTTTTATTTTATTTCCATTTTAAAATAAATTTTTATAGAAAAACGGTAAATTTATTGAATATAATATTGAATAATTATAATGAAACCCTCTAACAATTCAGAAATAATATTATGACTAAACATCATAACACTTATGTCATAAATTCCATAAATTCTTTTTTTTCTACAATATGTTTCTTTGTAAAATAATTAATATTGTACAAAATATTTTACAATAAAAAAATAAAAAAACAAATTGTACAATATGTTTCTACTATCGCATTTTCGCTCAAAATGTCAATAATTAATGTTCCTGTATAAGCGAATCACGTGCAACACTTGTTACTATTTTCTAAACTTCGTCACGATTATTAATGCAACACTGGAATTTATTATTCTTATTAAAAGATTGTTTTTTGTCAATCTCACAATTTAAATGGGATTTTTATAAAAGGATAATAATCTATAATAATAAAACTAAATAGATCCATATTTCAAAACTCCGTAAAAATATTTTATATTACTGTTTTCAGACACAAGAATCAGTATCATATTTATAATCAGTATCAATTAAGTAGCGATTACACTTAATCTATTATCAACAATATTGTTATCAATTTTTTCTCTGCATTAAAATTTTATTAAAAATTTTTTAAAATTAAATACATTATACTTACTTCATTTAAACAGTAACCATAAATTCCTTTTAATTGGATATAAATTCGCTTCCATGTCCTTTTTCATATTAAACTTCATCTGATCTTTTATCTCTGTGTTGTTAATTATTTTACTTTACACACAAAAACTTTTGGAGCTCAACAATCGTTTTTATTTATTTACAATCACGACCCAGAAAATGCTTAGAAAGGAGGTTTCATTTCCTTGTGGATCGATGCATTATCTGCTGCAGAATTTAATGCACATGAACTACATCGGCTACGACTTTCACCTAGATTTAGAAAAAAAGTAAACAAACTTTTTAGAAACAGATGAGAACATATAATACAAACAAATATCATCGGATTTTAATCACAAACATACACACAAAACTCATCGGCTATGAGAGAAAACAATTCATTTAAAGTTTACTTTTACTTTCAAATAGATAAAATTATTATCTTGCTACTGTATATGATGAAATATTTACACATAGTATATTTTAGAGTCGAATATATCCGTGAAAAAAAAGTATTTATAAATTCCACTTTGTAAATAAAAAAACATAACCTATCAAAAATCATTTCATGCATTTTTTTTTTTAAGAAAAAAAAATAATGATAAATAATAAATGATTTCATGGTATATGTAATAATAAAAATATGAAAAAATACCTAATCTAACAAGTACTTTACAATGATTTGTGGTAAACAATATAACTGAATTGTCATCTTTCAACCGGTTTCCGGGCAAATTTCTTTGTTTACCTCAATAAAAGAAATCTCATCCCTTTGATCAAAAAGATATTTGTGATGAGAAAGCAGCTGATTCATGAGTGTGCATGTTTATTTTTTGACTTTCATAATATAGTATCAAAAACTAGGAAGAGGTTTTGAAGTAATTAACAAAGTTCTTTTTTACTTTCGCCACGTACATTAACACTTTTAATCACTGATCACTTTCAAACACATGTGTATATAGGACAAAGGAGCTGAGAAAATAAATTTAACTCGATGAATAAAACACTGAACACAACAAACGCGACGAACAAACTCACACAAAAATGATGTTGCACGAGCCAAGACAATTACCTCCCCCACTATAACAACCTAACCTATATCCCCACTCTTGTCTTCTAACGGTATAATATATTAAATAACTTAAATAAAACTAATTTATTTGACTCGCATGTTATAAATTAATGACTAAGTCAATAAAGCAGAGTAATTGACTTGTATAATCACTAAAATCTTTTAATTATTATAAACTTTGTCTCGATTAAAATTCCTAGAATTTGAAAAAAATAAATCACGTGGTACAAAAACATCAACGACCCGATTGGTTAAAAAGAAAAAGCGGGAAAATAAATATTTAGATTTAAAAAATTTTTAAAAAAATAAGTTTGTGTCTTATCTTTTGAAGATTAAATTTGTTAATTATAAATTAATTATTTGTGATACCGTACCGAATAAATACATACATAATAAAACTTTATATATTACAATTATTTTTATTAATATACATAACTTTTTTATATTATCAGTGGAATGAAGGCGATCATTTAAATTATGTATTACTTGAAATAAATTTAATTTTTTTTTATTAATTATTATAATTTTCATAAAAAAAAAAAAAAATTATCTATTATTCAAATAATTCGTATAAGTATTTAAAATATTTTACTATTTTTGTTTAAAATTAAACAGCTTTGAATAAATATATATGTTGTTTAATTTATTTAATATTATAAATAAAATTTTAAAATATTTACGATATTAATATTAATTATGTACATTAATTACTAATTTTAGTGATTAATTTTTAATAATGTAGATATTATTATTTTTTTTTATAGCAAAAAACAAAAACAATTTAAATAACTAATAAAAAACATTAAAGTAGTAAATGAATAAAATAAAGCCATTTATTCGTTTCGATAAATCTTATAAGATTTATAAAATTGCATAAAATAACATACAGAAAATTGTGAATGGCACTGAAAAATATACATCAGAAAGTATCGTAGCACAAAATAATATACAGAAAAAAAATAATGTCAAGCAAATAAATATTTCTGTTAATAATAATTCATTTTTTTGTTGTTTTAATCTCCATCTATTCTCTGAATTACGTCATAATAATTCTAACTATTTTCTACTTTATCAAAATATCATATCTCGTTAATACTTCTACATCATAATTTGTAAAAATCTATTTAAGTCTGTAAAATTAAAATAATATATATCATGATATAATAATACTTCAGCAATTGTCATTAATTACTGAATTCAAAAAACACGTTCATTATGTAAAATTATTACCTACTATTTTCATTTTGTATTAAATTTATAGACAATATTTATTTATTTATGAAACAATAATGTCCATTTATTTAATTATTTTTTGCACACTCGTTTCAAATATTTGAAATAAAAATTCTATTTCTCGTTGAACAGTTTCTTTCATTAAAAAGAAACTTGGTCCCTAAAAGTCACAGCCAATAAAATGCAAAGGCCACTTGAATAAAACAATAGTGACAGCACTGACAATGATGAAACAGTATCACACAATAATTGGTGATTATTATATAATAAATATAACATTACAGGATCACTCAGTAGTCTTTAAAATAGAATTCGGCACGTAAATCTTGTATTATTTTTTCTCCCATACTTTTTCTTTTTTATTTAAAAATTCCTTTTTTTCTATTTTATACATTCCCGTTAATTTAGGAATTTAAAAAATTCCCTATTTTTTGCCGTCAGGCAACAATCATTGTTAAAACATCATTCCTGGATGTTCCAGATCTGTAATCAAGCACTACTGATCAAATTACAAAGAACTTATTTACAACTCGATGAAATAAGAAAAAAACAAGAAATTTTTAGAAACTGGTAAAATTCGTAAAAATATTCTAAGTTTAATTAATGTTACTATTCTTCTTGTATTTTTGTTTGTTCAAAAAGTTGTTTTTATATTCTTATGTCTTAAAATATTCTATATTATAAATTAATAGAATTGAATAAAAAAAAACTACCTGATAGTTGCGTGTTGAGTTCCAGCAACTAAATTTGAATCATTTCGTCTTTTAATTCTTTCTCGAGCTTGATTACGAATTGTTCGCTGAATTATGTCAGGTGCAACTGTCGTTCGTACAGCCCTGTACGTCAGTCTGAAAAATATAATTGTAATGTATTTTTTTTAAATTCAGAAAATATTTTCTTAAAACAAAACAATTAGTAAAAATTAAAATAAATTATAAATTAAAAGTTTTGTAATAAAAATTGTCACACTTACCTAGGCAACATGGCGAGAACTGAAGATAAAAGAACTGTTAGCCAGTAATTATGTCTCGCTATTGCTATCTGCATTACCCAATATGAACCCGGTAATCCCATACAATTAACACAAGTTGCATTGTAGAGGATACAAAATCCAAAGAATGTTCCCAAAGATACGAGAATTGCTCCAACGTGCATTAGAGTCTAGAAATTTTACATAAATTTTAATTAATCATTAATTTTCCAGTATCTTTTCTTTTTATTTCTTTAGTTACAAATTCGATTTTTTTATTATTATTATTAAATATGACTATCTAATTACAATGTTATTTTCTATTTTCTCGAAAATTGTATTTTATTCGATTTTATTTTAATTTATTTCCAATTTGAATACAAAGTATCTTTGTATTTAAACAAGAAAAATTAGAATTAAATTAAGAAAAATTACAGAACTTACCCACGATCTGGTTTCAATGCTGACATTAATTAACATCGATATTAAACAGGAGGTAGTAATTGTTGTTCCAAATTCCCATATATCCACATCAGTGTCATAATAAGCCTAAAATGAAAAAAGATAAAAAAAAATTGAAGAATAGAAAAATTAATCATGAAAAAAAGAGAAATTATTGGGAAAATAACTTACAGCCTCGGTTAAAAAGAAAATGACGATGCTTTGATAAAGAGCATCAGCCATTGTCAGCCAAAATGAATGCGTCTGATAAACGAGAGCCAATCGTCCTCTTTTATAAAGTTCCGGATTTTCTAAAAGAACTCTTCCTGGTGCAATTCTATCGTAAACACCCAAAGCTAGCGGCGACAATGAAGTGAATAATAAATTAAACAGCATCAAATATATTTGATCAATCATCACAGCCCCGGAAAATCCACAATACAGCTGAAAATTATGTTTTTGAGATTATTTTGATAGGAAAATAAAAAATATTTGATACGATAAATAATGAGAATAAATAAACAAACAACTAGACTAATAGATAAAAAAAAGTAAATTTACCTGAAACCAAAAAAGTAGGAAGACAAAAGTCGCATTTTTGTAGAAAAAGTAAAGAATCATTCGCGAGAGTCGATCATAAGACCAATGTCCGTGCATTAATAGAAGTCTCGATAACATGGAAAATTTTGCAATTGCAAAATCAGCCGCCATTATTGCCTGCCTTCCTTCACGGCCAGAAACACCGACTCCAACATCAGCCGTTTGAATCATGCTCACATCATTTGCTCCATCGCCAATAGCAAGGGTTCGCATTCCAAGTTGTTCTTTTACAACTCGAACGATGTAGGCCTAGAAAAAATGATAATATTAAATATTTTTCCAAAAGAAAAAACTATTTTAGAAATTAAAACTATTTTTAATAAGTTAATAATTAAAAATTTATAAAACTACATTTACTTTTTGTAATGGAGTGGCACGACATGCAAGAACACTGGAACAAGCTCTTGTTAAATTAAGAAACGGTGTTGTTAGTCCAGTTTGTGGATCAAGAATAAACGTCAATGTTTTCCCATCGACAACAAGAGCTCGTTGTCGTTTCCATGAGCTACCAATTCTATAAGCGACCCTATCAGCTGAATCGAGATCATGTGAAACTACTTCTCCGGTGCCATGAAAATCAGTCATTTGTCTCTGTATTCCATCGTTTGCAGCATTTTCACGTTGAATCGCTTCCAAATGACTGTGAATCAAACTCTCAGCGACGGATTTCGATCTCGCTTGGAGCCTCAACAATTGCATTGCCGGCGTAAATAAACACGCCGAATAAGCGATATTCACTGCCGTCTCCGGCTTGTCACCTATAAGAAAAAAAATTACCTCTTAATTCTATCTGTAAATTATTAATAAATTGTAAAATAATAAAAATTAAATTAAATACTGATATTTTACAAAAAAAAAAATTTTACCAGTTAAAACCCATACGACAATTCCAGCAGAGACGAGAGCCTCCATTGTTTCAGGAACTCCGGCCTGGAGTTTGTCCTCAATGCCAGTTACACCGAGAAGTGTTAAATGTGATTCGAGTAAAGAATATGAATCACGAACACGACGATCGCGATTTTCAGTTGAAAGTTCAGCTTCTTGGTGTCTTTGTCGCCAGGTCTCGAATTCCTGAGCGCCAAGAGTTCTTCTCGCCATGACAAGAGTCCTTAAACCTTGTCGGGCATACGAATTCAGCTGTTGACGAATTTTTGTCATCGAACTCGTATCCTCGTCAGTTGATGACAACGATGGCAATACTGTCGAATCCGCGCCCTTACTATAAAGCACTATTTCACCTGTAATCGGATGTCGTACCACAATCGACATGCATTTTCTACTCGAGTCAAATGGCAAAACCTGTAAAGAATTTTTTTTTTCAAATTAGAAATTTTGTGATTATTTTGCCAGCAACAAAATAATAATAAATAAACATACATGCAAAACTTCAAAAGCAAGAGTAGAATTATCAGGCAAAGAGACAACTGCACTACGAGGAGTTCTTTTTATCAATTTGACATTATAGGCACGAGCGGCACGCACAAGAGCCAATTCATCTGGACTCTCGGCTTCATAAATTTGTGGTGGTTCCGTAGCTGATTTTGCTCCATCATCAGCAGTCGATTGATTATTTCTCAAACCCATTGGCGAGAGTTTTCTCACAAGATCCATTCCTAAATTTGGAATCGATCTTATATTTAATAATCGCGGCCTAAGAACACGACTACGAAATGTTGATGAACTATTCGATGGCATTTCAGTCGATGACGAAATTGTTGACAGGGGAATTCCATGATTTGGTGGTGTTAAAAGAATTGCGGAAGAAGAATTTGTCGTTAATGAAGATGATGATTCTTCCGTTGATTGTGGAATTGGAACTGGCGTTGTACTTCTTGACTCATTAAGTCTCATGTATCTATGGAAAAATTAATTAATTTAATTATGATAAAAAAGAAAATAAATCAAATTTTCAAAATTTACCTAGCACTACCTCCGTTCTTTTGAGGTTCTTCGATAACACCACTCGAGTTCATGATGTCACGATGAGGATGACTATTTACAACAACCGTGTTGCAAACTGCCATTAGAACCAAAAACTCCTGAAGGCGATGCTTACAATTTCCTATGAGTAAATCTTCCTTTAATCTTGTGCACGGCATCGGATTCTCACCATCGCCAGTGTGAGCATAATCCTGACCGCCTACAGCACATCTTCTAAACAACATTTTATTCTCAGTCAGTGTTCCAGTTTTATCCGAAAATACATATTGAACCTGTAAATAAATTAATAATTTACTAAACTTCTTAATTATCAAAATAAACAATTTTTTATCAAAATTTTTTACCTGTCCAAGATCTTCAGTGATGTTTAAAGCTCGACATTCGGCTTTTCGACCAGATTCTGAATCATAAAGAAAAGGATCTTGACCAATATGATAAACTTGTCCGACCTTAGCCATCTCGAGTGTTACGTAGAGACTCAGGGGTATCATCACTTGGAGAATGATGATAAACGTCCAAAACGTGAGCATTCCCTCGTAAGTGGGATCTTGAATAATTGGCAAAAAAGGAACAGGTCCAACGTTCGTGTAGGCAGTAAGCCATAATCTACATCCAACTGCACCAACCACACACAAAACAACCAGAATAACAACGCACCAAATTATATCTAAATTCATTTGTCGTTCCAAACGAGAACGCTGTAAGAAAAAATTTTTTTTAATTAACTTCAATTATTTATTCAAACAATAGAATTAAATATTTTAATTAATGACAATTTTTGTCAAAAATTTCTTTAGTAAAACAATTTAAAAAATGAAAAATCACATATTGTGAATAATATTTTCTAAATATTCAATATTGAATAAATATGAAAAGAACAAAAAAATAAATGATAAACGTGTAAAACAAATGTTTTACATTAATAACAGATTGTTAAATTTACATTGTTGGGGGATTTGAATATTTATAAGCTGTTTTCTTGTTAAAAGCAAATATATGTGTGTGTGTGTGTGTGTGAAACTGTGTCATCTCTGATGAGTTGTAAAATAAAGAAAGGAAAAAAAAGAAGAAGAGGAAAGATCAATACCTTATACCTAGGCCCCCCATTGTTGAGCATCGCTTTAGTCTCATGACCAGCATATACTACAATTCCCTCGACGAAATCTGTATTTTTTAAAACACACTCCCTGAGTAAAAGATTTTCCGTCGAAACAGGCACTCTGGCACCTTTAGGATGAACTACTGCTCCATGAAATCTATAAACAAAAAATAAATAAATAAGTTACAATTCGTAAGATTCGCACAATTAATTCTTTAAAATAAAATAACTCTTTCGATAAGGGACATTAACTTTACTTTTTTAAAATTGTTTTCAGTTTTTAATTATTATTTTTCAATTATTTTCAAACAAAATAGTTTCACTTTTTTCACTCTATAAATGTTTGAAAATAATTTTCTAATCTTTTAGGTAAAAAAATAAATTATAAATAATGAAATCTTCTTCTCGGCAAAAAAAAAAAAAAAAAAAAAAAGAAAATTGAAATAAATTAAAAAGAAAGATCTTTTGATAGAACTCACCTATAAATTTTCGTACTTGGTTTATCGACTTCGATAACCGAATGGAATTTCGAGGGTTGGAAAGAGTCTTGAAGGTCCAAGAAACCTCTCACCACTTGGCGTTGCTTCAAATTGGTTTCTCCATCCAAATTGCAGGTGTCGAGATAAGCGAATCCCTGAGGATCACTGCTTCTCAGGAGTAAGAGATCAGCCGGAACCAATTCGTTATTCGACAAGTGAACCAGGTCGCCGACCTTGACGTCTTTCCATGGCACCTTCAAATACCTATCGCCATCGCTGCAAAATAGAAAAATATACAAAAAAAAAAATCAGATAAGCAATTTAAACTCGCCACGCAATCTATATTGTAAGAGGGAAATATTGGTTTAATTTCACCCACGTTATTTAACTTGGAGAAAAAAAATTCGAATTACATACAAGCGAATAAACAAGTTATTTCTAGAAGATGGTAAAAAACGTATTTTTAATATTTTTTTTTATTTGAATATTATTTTAAATTAACAAGTTTTTAATTCCGCTCCGAATTTTTCTAATTGCTGTAAATTTTCTTCTTCTAGGATTTTATTAACATTAACTTAAATAAAATAAAATTATTCAATTAAATAAAATTAAATCCTGGAATTCAATTAAATGTAATTTAATTAAACTAATAGTCATTGAATTAGAAATTTTCCGGTTTTTTTCCTAAATTTAATCCCATATTTTCCTTCACGGATGAGAGAATAATTTTCTATTGCACAAAAGAAGTCCCAAGAGTGTCGTCATGAACGCAAATGATCAGAAGCAGTACATTTTGTTTCCTTGGAAAATTTCTCGGCTGATTCCTTGAATAATCCAAGACAACTCTCGAGGAGCCTTTGTAACATTAATTAATTATCTAACAATGCATTTTCCATATTTGTAGCATTTATTCAACCGAAGGACAAAAAGCTGACGTTATCATGGAATTTAAATATAATAAAAACAGATTTCTATCTCTCTCGACTAAAATAATATTAAATAAAAAAATCAACCAATACAAGATGTAAATGGAGAAATAAATAAATTATAAATATTAAATAAAATTTGCATTAAAAAAAAAACTTTCTTCAAATATCCAATTTTTTTTTTATTTATTTATAAATAAATCTAATCAAAATAATCTAAAAATCTCGAGATCAAATGTCGTAAATTTAGAAAATAAGAAATGCCATTTATTTGGAAATAGAAGTTCGAGACCGAGACCTTTTGTTAGTGCAACCTTTCAAGTTCTCAAAGAAAAGCACAAGTCGTCTAAAATAAATTCATAATAATATTGTAAACTGTGACATCATCAGTGATGGTGACATTCATCGCGTGAACTTGGTGCATTTATACACGGTTCTAATTGGCTAAATAACATGAAAAAAAAAAAGAATAATAAAATTCTCCTGATAAAAACTTCTAAAGCAATAGCTGATTAAATGGTCGACTGTTGGAAATATTTTTAGAATTTAAAGAGTAATAAAACGAAAAAAAAAAATGAGAAATTACATTTCGTTAATATTTAAAACAAAGATTGCACAATTTTAAATGTGACTCTTTTAATAAAGACCCTTGTAATTTTCTACTAATGAATTTGACCCTAAACAATAATAGAAATGAAAATAAACCATAAATACGTGACTTGAAGCGTAAACGTGACAAAAATATATTGTTTACGTTAGAAAATGAAATTAAGAAAGAGTCAAAATAACAAATGAAATAGCCAATTTTCATTTAAATTGCAAAATTCCAATTTTTATGAAATTTACATTAAAAAATTATTTATTTTACAGTAAGAAAAATAATTAGAATAATAAATCACTAATAAGATGTAGTAAAATTTGTCCAGTACTATAAAAAAAAAATTCGATGTTTTGAAAAACACAGTCCATTTTAAAGATAAAAATCGAGATATGCCTGAGGGATGATTTAATTTTCAAAGTAAATTTAATTTCTTAATATTGAATTCCGGATTTTCTGTGAATGAATGAGAGACAGTGAAGTGATAAAAAAAAAATCGCCGTCCTTGCCTTCTGGCTTTAAACGTAAAAAGGAGAAATAAAATGTTAGCCATCAATTGAATGGAATGATATTGGAGTTCCTTGCTGATCATTTCCGAAGGTCAGAAATATCGACTCAGTATTATAGTTTACTCTAATCGAAGATTGAATCCATGCAGAGTTTAATCCATCGAAAAACACGTAAGCAAGGAAATAAAAAAAAAATACTGTCAATCAATTTATACAAGAATATGTTTAAAATTGATCAAGCACTGGATATCAAAAGTTCTTTTTATCAAAAACTAAAAAAATATCAAAATTTACTTTCATGAAAAAGTATTTCTATCTAAAAGTGATTTGATATAAAAAGAAAAAAATGCTTCCTCAAGAAAGAAGACCGAAGAAATATTTCAAGTTTGAATGTTAATCAAATGAACCTTGGATTTAGAGAAAGAATCTCAATACACATGTGCCATAAATCGAAACATGCATATTGTCCTGAAATTGGAATCCAATAAATCGAGTTAAAAAAGAACATTTCATTGCATCTGATTTTCAGTGTGTAAAATGAAAAATGATTCTATTCGTTTGAAAGCTTTGAGGTCAAGTCCTCTCATGTCTCCATAAACTTCAATCAACGTGGATCAATTTTATGATGCGCTCTTTTTCTTTTTTAGAAATAAAGCATGAATAAAATTTCAATTTCTGTTGCAAAATTTGCAAACATATTTTAGTCGATTAAATATATTCCAATTAAAAACAAATTTTGCGAATTAATTTTAACTAATGCTGACTGAGAAATATAAATTGGATCGATTTGCTATTTTGGATAAATGACGACGAACCTTTAAGCGGAAATTAATTTTGAGAAATATTTGACTCTCGCTATTTCGAGTAATGTGCCTCATTAAATATATGTCCCTGTCTCCAATGAAGAGTCGTCACTCCTTGGATTATTAGTTACTTTTATTGAAACACGAAGCGAGATGAAAACTTCTCAACGTCCAATTCATTATCTGTAATAATCATTGAAACTATTAGAAACGAAATACATTCTTCCCATTAATTGGAAAATGGAAATTTTTTTTTTATTTTTAAAAATTATAATTTTAGAAAATAATTTAAAATCATCTGTGAGAGATTATGAGGTATTGATTTTTTTTAAATACATCAGACACAAAGTTTATTTAAATAAGCTATACAAATTCACAGGTCACCTAGTTTAAATTTGCTTTCATTATGAGGAAGTAAAAAAAAGGAGAAACTTTGCGTGTCTAAATAAAAAAAAAAAAAAAAGCAACAGAAACTTGGTGATGACCGAATCGAAGCCACGCTATTAGTAAATTAAATGATGTCATTGCCAGTTTAACGGTATAGGAAAAATTACAAACCTCCGGGATTTAATAGCTAATAGGCATTGACAATTATTCTCTCCATAATTAAAATCTTATATACTCTTTCACGTTTATCACAAATCATTCTCCGAAAATTAATTTACTCTAAGAAGATATTTCACAGATTTTTTATGAGTATTTTTAAATTTATATAAGTAACAATTAAATTAATTTAATTATTTATTAAATTAAATACTATTTTTACATGAGAAACTTGACCTGATACCAATCGGTAGTTATAATCTTTGAAGGAAAAAGTAACTTAATTTTCAGATCCACTTATTTTTGGTGTTTTCATTGAATCTTTTAAGTATAGACAACTTGGAAGATAATCAAGTTGGAACATTTTCAATTTTTCTTGCATACACACACAAACATCGGAAGTTTGCTGATTTTCTCTCTCTTGCGGAAATGCAAAAGACACAAAAACTCTATCTTTTTTCACTTCATAAGCTCAAATATTATTTAGATTGAAATTACATTTAAAAAATTATTTTCCTTTACATTACAATAGAAAATTAATTAATTCATAATTTATCAAAATTATTATCATAAGTAAATTAATTAATTGAAAAAAAAAATTTTGTAACCTCTTAGACTCTGGGTTTCAACAATGAAAAATTGAAATTAATCTACCTCGAGAAAAGGGCACTCTTAATTAATTCAAGAGTACTCGTCAGAAGAAGGAAGAATTAATTTCACGTGAAATTGTTGAACGACTTTGAGAGGTAATTTAAAAAAAAAACTTAACAACTCTTTTGAGTATACTCGCGAGATGTAAATTTTTCAAAGCAGTTCGAACAAAAAAAAAGTAGTAAAAATGTGTTCAATGTAGGTAGAGGCCAAATAAACAGGGTTGCTTAGAAAGGTAACTAGGTTGATTTTGACGTTCAGGTCGACGGCTTTGACAAACTCTCTGTATTGAATACGTATCAAGCAAGTGAAATACGAATTAATTGAAATTGATAAACCCCTTTCACTATACAAGTATCACGTTTCGCATTTGTTTACCGCGCCTTTTTTCCACTAAAAAAAAATAAATAATAATAACAATAAAAATGTATTATCACTTCCTCGACGTTTACATATATATAAACATGTAAAGTTAATTATCATAATCAACTCCCATCACGAACTATATAAAAGCAGATTAGAGGAAAAATTTTTAATTAAAGTTCTTCAACAAAATGTTTCTATTAACAGTTAATTAAAAAAAAAATAATTACATCACTTTATGCGTGTTTATTATATTATATTTTATGTTTATTAATAATTTTCATATTTAAATTTAAAAAAATTTTTTTATTATAAAATAAATTCGACATAATTTTTCCACCAAAATAATTAATTAAAATTATTTCTGAGGTAACTTTATAGTTTTAATATTAATTTTTTACGTTTTTCTACGATAAAAAAAAAGAATTAATAAAATAATAAATTAGAAAAAATTAAATTCAATAAAAAATACACCATAATAATTTGCATGAGAGTTTTTTTTTTTTTAATGAAAAGCTATTAGTTGCCTTTTTTTTCTTATACGCTCAGATAAAAATTTATTATCATTTTGGAAATGTAGGTTTATTGTTTGTGCAAAATCTAAAATAGATTCACAGCATATCGTAAATGTTTGTTGCGCTCGTAAATTTCCTCGCCAGTTAGAATAACTTTTTAATGGATTTCATTTTAAATTCAAAAAATTAGAATTTCTTTTTATTATGGGATTTTTAGTAAAAGTTTCTTTAGATTATTATAATTTTTTAGTTATCAATTTACTAATATTATTATAAGTAATTATTATAATTCGTTATATTATTTATTATAATTATCTTTTAACGTGATTCAATTACTTTATTTTATTATAGATCAGTTATTTAATATTTATATTAAATCAATAATGAATTAATTATTCATTTTTTGGACTTTCATTTTATACATAGAAAATTTTGACAATTTTAAGAGCTACTTCTACAATTCCGGTTCGTGTTAGAAAGAACTCAATTAAAATTCACATCAACACTTTATTCATGTCAAAACTTTCTGTTCGATGAAAACAACGAGTGCACAATTATTAATCTCTATTTACACTGCTCAACATAAAAAAAATATTTGAAAATAAAAGTTATTTTTATTTGAAATCAAATTATCTTTTGTACCTATTCAAGAAAATAAATATAATAATTACTATATTTTAATAAGAAACATTTATTAATTAACTTTTAATAAAAAAAATTTATTAAATTATTATTATTTATTATTTTTTTATTTTTATTGTATTCTTATTTTTTTTTATTTCATAAAACTACAATTCGCTAAAGTGAGAAAAGTAAAATAATGAAAGGAAATTATTGTTAATGCAAGAAACTGAAGAATGAATGCGATTGAGGGTGACGAAGGTAAAGGACAAGGTTACTGTAATAGTTTTATAAAGAAATGTCGGAATCGCGATACATCGATTGAACAATACGACGATTTAATTGCATTATAAATGACGTTCGTTGCAACCGATCGCATGAGGGCGTTTGATCAATCTTTTATCGTATAAGATAAAGTTTTATCGAATTTATCAGGGAGCGCATGGTAACCGCAAAATCGATAGAATTAATTCTGAGATTATCAATTTTTTTTTTACAATCTGATTGTGATATCAAACAAACAAACCGAAAGGTCCACGTGTTCATAATTTATCAGTTTTATTTGTTTAGAGAGAGAAAAAAAACATATTTTAGCCCTTGAACTAGTCAATAACATTAGTCTTTAACTATATAATATTTTAAATCACAAATGTAAGAAACGTAAAATTATTTAACTAAAAATAAATAATAAAACTCGATTTTTAATCAATTTTATAATTTTTAAATTTTATTATTTTAATCACTTATTAATTAATTATAAATTAATTATTTAGCAAAAAAAATTTATCATTGATAACTATAATATCGAAACTCATTGTTTATTATTTTCTAGGAAATGAATGTTCTTTGAATTTTGATAAAATTCTGATTGTAATCAAATTTTACCTTTTTTTTATCGACAACAATAAAGTGAAATTATCTTTACTCGAAAAAAAAAGATTTTTTAATAATTAAATCGAAATATTTAACCTGATGAACCTTTAATAATATTTTTTTTCAGATTTAGATCAAAACCATTTAAATAAGGTTTCTCATTGGAATTTGCCGCCTACAATTTGAATAAGATTAGCATAAATTTCAACCTAAAATAAAGAATATCGCGTGATTCTCGAATTTCTAAGGCTCTTACCAATTCCAGCATTTCTCTCTCGGTAAAAGTAATTTATTTGGGAGCAATGTCCTAAGATAAAATTTTACCTTAAATGATATATCATTTTTTTTCTCTCTCATACTAAATATGAATTTCAAAATAGTATTTTTTTTTCTTTTTAATTTTACCTTCAATTCATTTTAATAATTACTTTCAATGAAAATTCACAGGTAGCAAAGCTATCGTGTTCTTTGATAATCGACAACGTGAAGAAAGCGACATTCAGCAAATAAAAAAAAAAGAAAATGCTGAGAGAAACGATTATCTGCGACCAACGAACTCTAATAGCATTCCAGATGTTCCCAACAACTTCTCTCAAGGGTTATGCAATCTTTTTCTCCTTACATATTTCTTTCAACATACTAACGACCTAAACAAACTAAATGAGAATGTTCAAAATTAGCTAATTTTGTTTTCACTAACCAATTATAATTTTTTTTTTCACTATTTGTCATTATTTAAACTTTATTTGAGTTATTACAAAATTATTTTCTATTGCAGAAAATTTTTTTTCAATTAATTTTTTTTTTTGTTCCCATTCTAAGATTTTTCCACTTTTCATCTTTTTTTCTTATTATTTTCTTTGTCCCTTCTTTTCTCATTAAAAAATACTTTGGTAAAGTTAATTAAACAATTTTTATCGACCTTTTACTTTCATCAAACATTGTCTCTCCACTTTTTAATTAACCTTCCTATTACTAAATACTTCGATAAAGTAAATTAAGCAATTTGAATCATTAAATTTGCTTAATTACAGTAACAAGAATATTAATAAATATTAAAATAATTTCGAAAAGAAATTAGAGAAAAAAATTTTTAATTTTATAATTTAAAATCATGTAATTTTGTTTCATATAGGGGTTAATTTGTGGCGGATAAGTATAAAAAAAAGAATAGAAAAATATAATTTTTTTTTTTTAACAATATAGAGGTGATTTAAACATGAGTTGTTCACGCACGAAAGTAAAATCGCGTGAGTAACATTGACCTCAATTTATTTTTCTTACTCTCGTTTCAAATCGATCTCTTTCTTGGAATTTTTTTTAAAGGACCCAGGGCACTATTTTGATAATATCAAAATAATTTTCTTTTTATTGTTATTATAATTTTTATTTAGTTACTACTCACCTCACGTATACTCGACAGGTGGAATTATTGACTCGTTTATCACTTGCGAGTCTTCTTCTGTCTTCAAAAAAATCCTTCACAGCTGTGACACCAAGAACAAAGAGAACCGGAAACATGGCAATCTCCTTTCCAAACGCATTGATTTCCGGTACCCAATTTAACATTACAATAAATATGAAATATAGATTTGCCACACGATGAAATTGCTCCAACAAATTACGTGGCAGGAAGCTCAAAGTCGTATACTTGGTTGTGCGTACCCTATATTAAAAAAAAAAGTAACAAGTGATGAGAAAAAACAAACTAAATTAACTTGAACAAAAACAAATTAGAAACAACAAACATGAATTTAACTTATATGTATGAAAGTATATTACAACGTTAATAATACATTAGAATGATCTTGATGACCTATATAAATTTTATGAAAGTAACGGAATTCTCTCTGGGGTTGAACCTCAACTTAGGTAATCGATATTTATTTTCAAGGAATTATAATTATTGACTAAATATTCAATATAAAAATGAAAAAGTAATAAAAGTTATATTTGAGTGATCAAAAATTATCCAATTCCTCAAAGTATATATTTATTTTGTTTTTTTCATTTTATTTTTTAAAGGAAAAAAATGTTTAACGAATGAAATTCAACCAAATAATAATAAATAATAATTCACCTAAAAGAGTCATTATCTAATTAATAAAATTTTTATATTTACATTTTTTTTTTGTTTATTAAAAACTTTGAAAAGATTTTTGTTAAAAATTAATATTGCTTCTTTAATAAACGTATTATTTGTAAAAATCTGTTTAAATAGTGAAAAGAAGAAAATCACGAATTAATACCTCGATTATTCGGTAAAATTTAAATAAAAAATAAAAATTTATTCATTTGATCCTGAGGTTTCTATATTGTATATATTAAAATAATATCAAATATAAAAGCAGTATTTTTCTTGCTATACCGTATAGCATCAGCTTGCATCCTGGTTCAGTTAATCGGCTTTAATTCTTTCAGGGTTAATGTAATGATAATACAGATTTTAATCAACTGTATAGAATGCCATGTTTTCACACAGATTCTTGTTCCACTAATCCATTTCTCATCAATTAACAGAAATGTACAATAATTATTTAAACAAATATTTCTCTTTCCAAAAGATTTATCTTCGTAAATTGTCATTAAAATTTAATTGAAAATAAATATAGAATAAAATTCAATGTAAACTACATTCTCCACAACAATAACTATTTTAAGAAATCCTTAGAAGCTGAGATGTATATCGATAAAATGTACAGATCTTTTCATTCAGAACATATGAGACCGAGAATACAAGACGCTTGAGTAATCTGTGTCATGGAGTATATAAAGTATATAAAAAAAAGTGACTCAACATTCGTGTAACCATAAGAATTACATAATTATAAACAAAAAAAAAAAAAAAAATTTACCAGAAATTATTATTTACACTTTGTGTGTCATCATCACTCTCAACAACTCAAATCTGGCGCCGCAACTTTTTGAAACGTTAAAACTTTAAATGGATTTACATGTTCATATTAATGGAAAAATAGATTTATGATTCCATTTCATAGGAAAAACAAACTTCAAGACTATTTTATAGTATACAATAAAATTATTGAAATGGTCTTGAATTTTTATAATCATTAAAAATAAAATATTTTTCAGTAAAAATTAAATTTATTTCGCCCTATAAAAAAAAAGAATTTTCTGAATTTATTATTTTTGTATAACTTCGGAAATCAATCAATTTTATCTCACCTGTTATCGATTCTAGCACCATTTGGATGGCGACTTGGTGGAGTTTTTGGTGATACCAAATGATTTGGTACAATTGTCCTAAGTCTTGGTTCCTCTGGAGGTGAACCAAAACAATATACCCAAATTCTTCTCCACCAAGGAGGCGCTTCACTACGTCGAATTGTGTAAATTGATTCCGATCTAAGAGAAACATAAAATTTTTGATAAATACAAAAAATTCTTTTTTAACAAGAATAAAATAATACAAAATATAGTTTGTAAATTAAAATTTACTATTTGCATTTACTTTTACAAAATTGAAGTGTATGAGAGTTGGAAGCACGTTCTAAGCCGAAAGGCAAGAACTGTATAGAATAAATAAATAAATAATAAAAAAAATATTCATGTAGTATAAAAATTATTATATAAAAAATCTGAAAACAAAAGTGATCGTCGATATGATAATGGAAAACTTAGTGAAATCAATAATTTATAGGCGTGGTAACGAATGTTTTCTTTTCTATATATTTTTTTTTATTTCGCGTGCAAAATAGCCTAGAGACGTCTATACTGCACCGGAAATTTAATAAGAAACCGTCGACCTGAATTCTAAATCTGCCCACCTTAAGCTGACCTTGATCCATCTCTTCAGAAACTTGAGATATTACAAACCGTTATATAACATTTTAATAAAAGTCTCTCCTTCATTCAAATGAGGAATATTATTATTTTTTTTTTAAAATAATACACACGAGATTTGCAGTTTTAAATTTAATATTTCACTCGAGGAAAAACAGTATCTCAAATTTCATATATTTCCATATATTATCTCCAGAGAGCCACCTTAATGATTCATTTCACTACATTAAAGAAAACATTAATTATATAATTTACATTCACCATGAAATTACCTAATCGGCGAGAATTCTTTGAATCCTTAGCAAATTAAAAAAAAAAATGTTCATGCGACAGACAATTACTTTCCAAACAATATAATATATTTCTAATAATAAGTCTGACCGGAGTGTGATTCAATAAATTATTAAAAAATAATATTCTTCATTTACAAAAAATTTTCCTTCAAATTATATTATTCAGTTAAATAAAAATTTAATTTGTAAATGTAAGGTCATTGAAATTTAATTCAAATTGCATAACTAAAAATAAAATAAATTTTCGTTTTTTTTTAAAGGAACAAACACTCTGACGAAACATGTATATATAATAAAATAAAACATAACTGAGAAATATAGGAGAAGAGAATGGCATAACCTGATTACTAAAGTGTCCTACATTTAGGAATGATGTTATAGCGTAATATTTGTGAAATAAAAAAAAAATTATAATGTATAGAATTTACAAGGTAAGAAAAAGGAGAACCTTGGGGATTAAAAAATATGTACTACCTGGAGGCTTGTCGCGAGTGACCTCGAAAAGATGGAACCTTCCCGCTGCTTGGAGGTCGGGGATCTTCTCGATGACCGGGTGGCAAGATAAAATCGGTTTTTGATCCAACACGATTGTGGGCCATGACCGGTTGGCCCTGGACATTGACCACTTGACCTTGACTGAAAGCCCGCTGATGACCCGGCTTCTTCAGCACCGAGGGTCTTCCCGTCATCGTCCCCGTGGCACCTCCTGGCGTTGAGAATGCTGATCCTATAAATAAAAATTCAAAAATTTTATTTAGAATATTTTTCTTAATTCTTTTTTTTTTAATTATTTATTTCAACAAATTTGTTTTTATATTAAAACTTTTTGACCTTTATCTATTGATGTATTTATAGTTCATTTCTAATTTAATATTTGGACCGAATCCATTGAATATCGTGTGGGTAGTACAATCTTCAAAAATTAATTGCGACGGCGATGTGTACTTGAAAATTCGTAAACGAGTTCTTTGATTATCATTTTTAAATTCAAATTTATAAATATTTATTCATTCATTCAATTTTTTTAAAAATATTTTTCTTTTTCTCCCTTTTTTTATTGTCAGTAAATTTTTATTTTAATTTATTCCTTTAAAACACTGATTTTTCTTTTCATTAAATATTTTATTATTTTATTTTCAAAAAATTAAATTTTTTTATTTCTTTTCTAAGATTGAAATAAAGAAAAATTTGTTTCACGACAGATTTATTATTTTTCTAGTGTTTTGTAGAAAAAAAAGTATTGTTTCCTTTATTTTTATGTATGTGTTTAGTTTTTAAATACGAAAAAGAAGTAAACACGTTAAATAATAAACTATCAAAAAAAAGAACTAAAACAGATCTTTTACCTAGGAAATTGTATATATAAAAGAGAAGAAAAGCCTTCAACTTTTTTGTGACAAACTATTCATTTCTCACTCGAGTTTTTTTTTTTTTTTTTTTTTTGACGAAAAAATGAAACTGTATGTTAATGACTTGTTTATAATGTGATTTACAAAGTATTTATAATATTCTTTGTACATTTAGAATTTCTTATTTTATTCTCTATTTCGGATATAAAAAAGTAATTATAACTTACAACGTTGTGTAATTCACAAAAACAAAAATTCAAAATTATAAAATTAATTTTAAAAAAAGCTTTGGAGAGAAATAATTAAAATGAGGAAAAAAATGAATACAAATTTATTAAGTAAAAAATACTGTTAGAAGAAAATTAAAAAAGTGGAAATAAATACGTCAAGTAGAAACAGACAAGATAATAAGAAATTGAGTTTTTCAGTAGAAAAAGTCGGCGGGTGAGACAGACAGGAAAATAATATATTGTCCGACAAATCTGTTTTCTTCTACTTAAAAAATCAATGTCCGTATAAATAGATTAGTACTCAATTAATATAAAAAATTAATTTTAGAAATTTTGCTTTTTTATCTTCAACAAATGAAGTTTAACAAAATTATTAATTTATTTTATAGCTGATAAAATTATTAATTCAATATACAGTTAAACCTGATAAAATTAAATCAATAACTACTTACATATCTCATTTAACCAGGTTTAACTGTACTTAGCAAAATTTATTCTATTTTTCCTAATAATTTTATTTATTCCATTTTTTATTTTCTTATTGTTTTCATTAAATTTATTTTATTCTTTTAATAAAAAAAAACTCCGGCTTTTTTTTGTAGAATAAAATCATGATTTTTTTTTAGTGAATATTCATTGCGTTAAATTTAATAACAATTCATTATTAAATATATTAGAAGAGGTGAAAAAAAAATATCCACCTGAAGGTAGACCCGTTGACTGCCAAGGTGGTGGTGGTGTCGTCGCCAGGACTCCCCCATGACTGGCAGATCTCGTATGAGTCCTGAGTCCTGGTGCAACTCTCTTTTTCCATTTGTTCCCATCTTCTTCGTCGTCGTCGTCCGCGAGGTTTTCGCTTTTCCCTTTGCCTGATGTAATTGTTCCTCCTAGTGTTGATGTCGCCGAACTTGGTCGTACCGGAAGTAGAGGTGGTATACACGGAAAGACGTAAAGCGATGCTTTCTTTTCGTTCTCCTCGCACGCTGCTTGCACGCCGCTCTCCGACATACTGGCTCATCTAAAAATATGAAAAAAAATTATATATATAAGTTCATATATACTCTATTCTTATCAAAAAAAATTCTTCTTAGAATCATATAAATTTTTGATAATAAACTAAACAAACGTTATCAGCTTTTTTTTTTTTTTTTTTTTTTAGAAATTCTGTCTTCTGTATTATACCCTAAAATCTATATTAGTTTTCAATGCCAATTGTGATAAGCGAAAAAGTATGAGTAAACGTGTAATAATTACGTAAAAAAACGAAATATTAAATATAAATAAATACAGGAAGTAATAAAACTAAATTACAAATTAATAAACAAAATTTTGGATATTCTCTCTTAATAATAATTAAAAATAATATTTAATTACTGTAAAAATAATAGTAATTATATTTGTTACTAGTTACAATTGAATTATTTAATTACAATTATTATTTAATCAAACAGCAAATAAATTATAATAGTAATTAAATCATTTTCAACATTTTCAAATAAATTTTAAATTAATAATTTTTTTTTCCATACAACCTTGTAAATTTCAATTTCATAAAAAAAGCCTTCAAAATATAATTTCGATGATATGAAAATAAATAAAATTCACGAGAGAACAATCTCAAACCGGAAATTCAACAGTGTAATCAGTTGATAACGTTAAAACCTGGTATAACTACCGATAATTAGAAGTAATAGCAGTGCACAATATAGAAAGCTCACAAATACAAAATATATGTTAATGAAAAAAAAGAGAGACTGATTTCGACAAATAACTTCCCGTAAAAAATAAACAAAAAAAAAAAAAAAAATAGAAAAACACAAATCTATAATTTCGAGAAAATTAATAATTCAGACCGAAAATCCATAAAAAGGAATTTCATCATTTTGTGACATATTTCTAGTATCACTTCAAATATCTATAATAAATTTTTTATCAAACTATTGTTGTATAGGTTTCATTTTTTTTTTTTTATCAATAAAACGTCCAAATTTATTTTTATCAATAGTGACTCATGATTTTTTTTTTAATTATTGTTCAACTGTCAATTACTAAAACCTTCAATCATTGTTTGAAATTGATTTTCAAAATGTAACATAAAATAAATATTGTCTCGAGCTAATAAAAAAGACTTTTTGAAGGTTGTGTTAATAAATAATTTTTAATTTTCTAACTTTTCCATAATCAATTATCTAATTTATAAGAAATTAATTATTAAAATTTTTTCTATTCTTATTAAAAAAATTTTTTAAAATACTAAACGCAATTAAATAAATTCGTAATTTCTTTGTAAATATAACTGAATATTATAATTAAAATTTTTTTAATTATTCGTTTAAAAAAAATTATTTTCTTAATTGAGTAATCATTTTAATTTTATTGAAAGATAACTATTAACTGGCAAACAAATCAAATTCAACTATAAATTTGAATAAAAAAGAAAACAATGATTTGAAAATATTTCTTTTTGATTCATTGCAATAAAATTACTATAATTAGCTAATAATAAAATTGAATGAAAATGTACTTTTTTTATCAAAAAGGCAACCTGATTACGATGTTTTTTATTTTTTTTAACAATAGAATAAACAATAGAGCCATTGACGTCAATGTGTTTATTAAAATAAATATAATATTAAAAATTATATTTTCCTTATAATAAAAAAAAGGTAAAAAAAATTATTAAAAAGCATTTTCTTAACAACTGTGTAGAGAAAAATTTAATTATTTATATATTTAAATTAATTGTTGCAAAAAAACATTATTTTAAATTCTACGATATTAAAATTATCACAATTTTTCAAGTTTTAATGATTTCTTCCCAGGAGATTAGAAACTGACGTATTAAATATTAATTTCCACTTTCAGAAGCCGATTATAAATTCTTTGCTCCTTTAAATTTTAAAATTCAATACCATAAATGTTACTTAATTTTTGATAATATAAATTCATTATTTACAAATAGAATGTCTTCATTTCAAATAAAAATGAATTATAAAAAATTACATTTTTTTTTAATCTATTATATTTGCGGCAAATTGACAATTTAATCTGATTATAAGCATTAAATTAAATTTTTTCTCTTAATAATTTTTGCGATTTTATATAAATATATGTAACACAAATTTGTAAATAATAACAGGGAATTTAAACAAAAAAGTGATTAGGTGCACGTGAAGGTGTAAAAAAGTTTAGTGATAAGAGTAATATCGATTCTTAAATGTAAAAAGTCAAACCTACTGTGAAGCTTAACAAAGCTAAAATAAAATATATTAAAAATAAATTACATTGTTATATCGTTATAACTTTTTTTTTGTATAAAGCGCAACTTTAGAACATTTAATTGATTTACAAACCTAAAGTTTATACACTTGACTTCAGAAAAGTTGTATAAACATTTCTTTAAATATTACAAACTTTAAAATCAATTTAGCTGAAATTCATGAAAAATTCCTGAAATTTAGAGTGTTCATTATAATTTTTTTAAACAAAATAAAAATACCAAATGTTCGAATTATATCTGAAATATTAAAATAATAATTTAAATAATGCAATTATTATTGTTTAAAATATTCAATAAAATAATTAAATTTTGTTTATTTTAATTATCACAATTGAAATAGTAATTTATCAAAAATTATTTCAGTAGAGTAAACACTTCTTTTTTTTTAATACAAAATGAACCATTAAAACTTCGGGGACATTGGTGTTTGTTTTTTAATAATTGTTCATCGTTTTTCAACGCCATGTTTTTAAAATGTTTGTTTTGTTGTTGTTGTTTTTTTTTTTTTAATAAAAAATATTCCGAGTTAATATATCGAATTAAGCGCCATTCCTATCGTTCAATAATCTAATGTTTCCCTCTTACTGACAACGATCGTTAACCCGACTTGATATAAATTATAGAAGACTGCAAAGTCAAGGAAAGAATTTACCTACTAGCATGTATAGAGAATATGTAAACAGATTTTAATTAAATAAATTTTCTCACACGATCGATCAGATTTGTCAAATAAACATTGTTTTTCCATTTCCATTTTAAATTTCACAAAAAAAAAATCGTTAAATGAAATTAATTTTTACTGCTATACTATTATTAATGATTCAATCAATCATAATTTTAAAGCAATTTATAGTAATGAAAGATATTTGTTTTTTTTCCAAATATCAGGTTTTTAATAGAAAAAAATATCAAGAATTTTCAATACTTAATTATAAAAGTTTAGAAATTAATAGAATTCTATACTGATTTGTTCTAGTTCTCGCAGGATATATGTTAGCTAGCGAAAGTAGTTGTACAAGTGAAATAGTACACGATCAAATGTATGACACAATTATTGTATAATACAAAGCGTAGGTTGAAAATATATATATGAGACAAGAAGAATTCTAGTTAGGATCGATCAAGATGAATAAATCTGACTTTGCCCCATTATAAACATTTAACAAAGTTCAATTTGAAAGATTCACTTAATGAACTCAATTTTTAAAGATCACTTAATTGTTTTTCAAGAAGTTATAAATATTAAAGAAATTTCATTGTACAATAAACAAAAATTAATAACAAACCAAAATCCAAGAATTATAAAGTAAACAATTAAAAAAAATATTTATTATAAAAAATATTTTTGAAATTCATTTTAAGTAAAATAATAAAAAAAAAATTGCTCCAAGAGCGTGAAAAGACTCGAGAAATAAATATAAAAAAAAATAAACATATTATAAGAACTAAAAATAGAAATTTCATAGCCAAGAAAATTTTCTGAAGGAAATTACGTGAAAATAAAATTTCTTATCGAAATGATCAGATCCTTTTTTTACACTTGAAGTAATCGGATCGGTCTAGCGAAGTTACTTTCTAACATCAATGAGCAAAATAGATAAAATGTAACTACTACTGGTTTGCAGCTTTTAAAATGATTTAAATCTTAATGTGTAATTTTCTATTTTAAATTACATAATGTGAAAAATTGTTTCCATAAACATTAACAAATTTTAATGAAAATTGATTTTTTTTTAAATAAATAAATATTATTAAAATATGTCTTTGGTTTTAACATATTGCTTAGAAATAAAATCTTCTGAAAAAAATTTCAATATCTTTACAAGCTTTAGATAATAGCAAACAAATTTTATAAAAGAATAAAATAAGTAAAGAAAAGAGAGATAAGATGATATAATGACATCATATATAGTTAACAATAGTTTAAATTTTCATACGTAGTGAAATTAAATTTTTTCTCGAAAATTTCCCTTTAATTAGATAAATTAAAACTATTTAAAAAATTAACTGCTACTAATTTAACATTGAATTCATATTTCTTCATTATGATAAAAAATATTTTTTTCATTTATCATTCCCATAATTTAAGTAATAATTTTCTTTATGTGAGAAAATGTGCACATAAAAAAATCCTATTATTTAACGATATTATAAAAAAAAAATCAATGAAAAATTATATCATTATTTTTATTTCTTTTTTGTTGTACTTTCTACTATTTTCTTTTATTTCTTTCATTTTCCTTTAAATTATAAAGCAATCTGGGAAATGATCTCAACCCCTTTTTGATAAAAAAAAAAAAAAAAAAAATGAAATATTTTCTGAATTCGATCATTCTGGTTTTTACTCTTTAGTAAATGATGATAACATCGTAATTAAAATTTAACTTTTATCGATTTTAATACCAAACCAATGAATCATATGATAATTTTTGCCAATAAATTTTGCCCATAAATTAAATGGTTTGTTTAATTAGAATATATATTAATGAATAAAATTTTGAAATTACTCTCTTAAATATATCTATAAATCCAAAGTATTGAATTGAACAATAACATCATTTATAGAGCGAATCGAGCATCGGAGCACAGAACAGAAGGGCATAAAAACGAATCATAGGTTCTTTAACGTTCTTTAGAATCGAGTTGCTAACATATCTGCGGTGAATCCATGAAACCGGTTGGAACTCTTTAGTTTCTTATTGGTCTTCAAATAGTTAAAAGACAGTCATAAGTTTTTAGATTCTTTTCTTTACTTCTTTGCTTTAAGAAAAATTGCTTCTCACATACATATTCTGCAAATGATAAGAAATTATTTCATATAATAAATTTTCCTTAAATATAGAACAAAACTCGAGACTAATTTCTAAAAATCTGTCCTCTAAACAGAAAAGCAAATACATATAAACAAAATCTATATGAGTCAAAGAAAAATAATTTACGTTCTACTGTTACTCTCTTTTCAATTTAAATTGCAAATTAAATTCAAAACGAAGACACTATACCATTTTCATATTAAATTTATCATGGCACAAAAAATTAGAATGTTGATAACAATCAGAATTCGTAAAATTGTCAATTATTAGCAAAATGTAAAATTTTTTTTAAACGAAGATAAGAAATATTAAGAGGAGAATCTCGAAAAATAATGATCAATAAAGAATACCGAGCTGAGAGGTCGGAAATGGAGCAAAAGTAGGGTATTCGGGTGCAATAACGTTTCGTTCGAATAGAGTATATCTGATGTCATTCACCTACATTTTTCTGGACTTCCAACGCGTCCACGTGGCCCTCGGTTATCCTCACACAATGATGAAGAATTTGCAATGAGCTGGACCAACACAGCTTCACAAAGCCCCTCTTTACATCTTATAAGATTCAGTAACCTACGTTGAGGTTAGGAACCATAATTTTTTCTTTCACTTCTTTTGCACTTGATATTTATATGAGATGAGTTCGAAATTTCACTAGAGCATCCTTATTTCAAAGAAATAATTGCAACAATAAGAAGAAATTCCAAAAAAATATATCACTAATGCACATTTTTTTACTCTCTCAAGGCACAAGGTACCGTGGGATGAACTGGTGTAATATTTTGCACATATGTTTGAATTTACATGTTGATCCTTTTAAATAAGAACAGTTTTAAACATCCACACCGCGAACTGCTTATCACTTTATTGTTCGTTCGCGTCAAATCGCGGATGATCGCGGACTGTCGCGTCTGACGTTTTCTTGACTTCGCGGAGAGACCTAAAGTTAAGAAATTGAAGTTAGAAACAAATGTCACAGTACTGCCAATCGAAAATTCTTCCCTATGATTCTTTTCTTCTGACAAATATTTTGAGTGTTTAACTCTATAATACATTTTTTATTTAAAAAAAAAGTCAAAACAAAAGATTTTAAAGCAATAATTAAACTCTAATTATATAACAATAAATATATATGGTTTTGTTTTTTTTTTATTTGAATTTCCTTGGACAACTATTGGTCAACATGTAACAAACATGGCGGATGTTTTCTACCAACTGTCAAAGTTTATAAACGTTTTAATTTAACCTCAAATTTATTAATTCTAAATTATTCCTGCAGATAAAAGTGACCAGGTTAATTAAAAATATAAAAAATATATTTAATTAACAGGAGGAAATATATTCTATTTCATTTGCTTGTATGAAAGTTCAAGATCTAGGGTTTTTGCTGTGTTATATCATAGATCAATTGTTGATAATCTGACAAGTGGTAACCTATTGTTCAAATTTTTATCTTTAATTAAAAGGTAAGCTTTAAATAAAATATTAAAATTATCTTTGAAATTAAATAAACTTTTCATTATAAATAAAGTTTTGTGGAAATAAACTGCGGTGTAGTTTCAAGTCAATTGACAGCTGGAAAGAAGGTGCGCGCGTTGGTGAAGATTGGCGGGGTAAGGGGGTGATGCTCTAGGGATTGTGATTGACGTAGCCAGCGACGAAGAGCATCAAAGCAGAAGGAGGGTCTTCCGTTCCGGCATAATAGTCTCTGTGTAATAGTCTTGTGGTGCACAAACTAAGCTTCTCGAATTTTTCCTCTCCCCCACAACAGCCATTCAATTATCATCAAGAATTTTTCATTGAATTCATCTAAAGAAATTGTGATTTCGCAATTGATTAATTCACCATGGATGAGGAATACGACGCTATTGTTCTCGGCACCGGTCTCAAGGAATGCATCCTCTCGGGAATGCTGTCTGTCAGCGGAAAAAAAGTGCTACACGTCGACCGCAACAAGTACTACGGTGGCGAATCTGCTTCCATCACGCCCCTTGAAGATCTCTTCAGGTAAGGTCATTTTATCAATTCATCCACCGCGTGCTCAAGGACAACGTGTCTGTAATCTAAACTTTTATTTCCGATATATTACATTTTATTGATTGGCACGAAAAAAAAAAAATTGTTTACTCTCGTTGAGCCCTGTGCATATAATGGTTTTTATTTTCTAATAGAAAAGAAGATGGCAAACAAACTTTTACGAATCATTGATTTTATGAGAATAGAGATTTAATTAAATGAGAATGATCAACAGAGTAAGAAGCTATTTCTTTCCAAACCCTGGGGGGAAGGGGTCCGCCCTATTCGATCGAACGTGGCAAATCCCATTCTCTCAAGTTTGTTTAAAAATTGGTCAATTTTTTTTTTTCCTTTTATTTTACAAGGTTATCATTTGTGCATGGAAATATCTCCCTCATGCCATGCGTAATCGAATTTCCAGCTTGGTTTGTTGGATATTGCGCGATGTATTTACTCGATACTGTTGGATCCCTTGCGACCCAGAAATTACATTATGTACTTTCTATCAACGGCAGTGGCGCACGCGACGAAAGCAGCTGTCACATTTTGTGTCCGTTTTTTACTAATCATTCACTTAATGAGATGCGACTATAATGTAATGCTACAAAATTTTCATGATTACTCTATACTTATATCAAGTTTCCTCAGAGATACGAGAGAGAAAAAAAAACTATTCCATATGCAAACTATCATATGATAATATAGTTAAGATTTATTTTTCTTTTTATAATAATTTTATTTACCTTTAGAAAAAAGAAAAAGTTAATTTTCGTTCATTTTGTCGATAATTTCGTTTAAAATTAAATTTAATTCAAATTCCTCGATAACTATATTATAATCGATTTTCGTTGTAGGGAAAGCAAATAATTTTATCTATAGACAATTTCTTGTCTTTCCATTCAATTGCATCAAAGCAGAAACTTCATCTATCTTTACCAGAAAATATCAATTTAAAACGTTGAAATGACATTTTCCATTTAAAATAGAAACAGCTCAATTTAATTTCAAAATAGAATTTTACTCCTTACTGATTTCACTTGCAATGTATAATTTGATTTTGTATAATATAATTACACAAAAAAGAATGATTATAAATGAATTTTTAATTAAAATTAATAATAAATTTTTAAATTGTTTCCTTTTTTTTGCAGCAAATTTAATACACCACCACCGGACGAGAGTTATGGTCGAGGACGTGATTGGAATGTGGATTTAATTCCTAAATTTTTAATGGCAAATGGAATTTTGGTGAAACTTTTAATTCACACTGGCGTAACACGTTATTTAGAATTCAAGTGCATCGAAGGTTCTTATGTCTATAAATCCGATAAATCGGGAAAAATTGCCAAAGTGCCAATTGATCAAGCTGAGGCATTGTCAAGTGATTTAATGGGAATGTTTGAAAAGAGACGCTTCAAAAGTTTTCTTACATGGGTGCAAAATATGCAAGAGGATGATCCTAAAACATGGGATGGTTTTGATCCATTCAGCAATAGTATGAGCGCACTTTACAATAAATTTAAACTTGATAAAAATACCCAGGATTTTACTGGACACGCTCTTGCACTCTACAGGTAATTAAAAAAATAAACAGTAAACAGTTCAATTAATTTTTTTATCCATGTAAATTTAATAATTTTTCCGTTTTTTAAAAATTAATTATTCGCTTAAATCATAATTAAACTGTTTTGGAGAGATTAATTTCTAAATGTATAATATGTCTTTTCAGGGACGACGATTATATTGGAAGAAGTGCAATAAATACGGTTCGTAAGATAAAACTTTACAGTGATAGTTTAGCCCGTTATGGAAAATCGCCATATCTTTATCCAATGTATGGCTTAGGGGAACTTCCTCAAGGATTTGCACGTCTAAGTGCCATTTATGGAGGAACCTACATGCTAGACAAGCCGATTGATGAAATAGTCGTAGAAAATGGAAAGGTAATTTATTTAGAAATATTTTATTCTTAATTGCAGTATTTAGCAGAGTTTTTTTAAAATTTAATTTATTCTTTTTCAATTTTATATTAATTTTGTTTCAGTTATTTTAATGAAATTTGTTTAAAATCAAATATTCTCTTTTTGTGTATTGTTTCACATTTTTTGTTTTTGTTTCCTATTAAAATTTCACTATTTGTTTTTTAATTTAGATTGTAGGCGTTCGTTCAGGAGACGAAATAGCTAAGTGCAAACAAGTTTTCTGTGATCCCACCTATGTGCCTGATCGCATAAAACGAAATGGCAAAGTCATTAGATGCATTTGTTTGATGGATCATCCAATTTCAAATACAGGTGATGCATTGTCAACTCAAATCATCATACCCCAAAAACAGGTAAGATTTTTCTTTTTAATGTTTTAATTTCTCAAAATTTATATAAAAAAAAATTAATTAAAATAAATTATTAAAGGTGGGACGTCATTCTGACATTTATGTGTCAATGGTTTCGCACACACATCAAGTTGCTGCGAAGGGTTGGTTTATTGCAATGGTTTCCACAACTGTGGAGACAGATAATCCTGAACTTGAAATAAAACCCGGTCTCGATCTATTGGGACCAATTAAACAGAAATTTGTATCGATTTCTGATTATTTTGTACCGACAGACGATGGTATTAATAGTCAAATTTTTGTTTCGGAAAGTTATGATGCCACGACACACTTTGAGACAACTTGCCTTGATGTCCTCGACATTTTTAAACGCGCCACTGGCGAAGAATTTGATTTGAATAAAGTGAAACATGAACTCGGTGACGAGGATCAGTAACTGTAAGAAAAAATGAAAAAAGCCCAAAATTGGTCTATTGAATAAAGAAAAAATTTTTGACAAAAAAAAAAACATCTCGTACTATACTGTGTAAAGAAAAAAAAAAACTCGCTCTCTTGTGTCTCAAGTTGCTGCGAGCGGAGCCTAAGAATTCCACAAAATTCTTACATCCTCAAAATAAAAAAATGGGGGTTTAGGTAAAGATTTTTTAGGGAATATATTTTTTAAGTTAAAAAAAAATAATTGTATTGAGAAACAATTCTCAATGTCAATATATTTTTAAGTTTAGAGGAAGAGAAGAATAAATTTGGCAATATGTCCAAAAAAAAAGTAATTGCATTTAACGAACAAAAGGGCGACGAGATAAAGAGGAGGGAGAGGGGAAAAAGAGAAAGAGGTCAAATACAGGAATTTCCAACATCTCAAATCAATACTTCTTACCTAAAAAGTCTTACAATAAAAAAAAATAACATTAAGAAGAAAGTACAAGTGTTGACGCGCATCTAAGCGAAGATATTGCAAATGTACCATATTTTAACTAACGAATGTTATACTGGTTATACATAATGTAAACGAATTGTCTATTATGAGTGTGACCGATACGAGAGAAAGAGAGAGAAAGAAAGAAAGAAAGAGAGAAAGGAAATTTATTCAAGTACCTCCTAAGTGAACGATCTCGTTAAAAAAAAAATAATCCAAATTTAGAAACGATGAATTTTTCTTCAAGCCGTCGTTTTTAAACAATTACGATCGTAACGACAGCAGGCCTTCGTTTAGAAAATGATCTAAATTATTGTCATACCTAGCATTATTATTATTATTTACTATTATTATTATTATTATCATCATAGTAATTATCATTGTAAAGAAACTGCAAAAAATCTGTATACAAATTGTATACTATATTAAACTTTATACAAACAATGTACACTTATAATGTTATAATAATTATACATTATGCATTATTATTATATATTATAATATATTATTATTATTATAAAATTATATTATTATATATAATAATATTGTATATATTATATAATGTAATGTTATAAGAATCTTATCAGAATCGAATGGTTATTATAATACGGGCTGCATGTGCTATGGGAAAAACTATTTTAGAATTAGGGGAAAGTACGTTAAACACAAATAAAAAGAATATGAAAAATTATTTGTGATATGTGTGAATGTGCAATGTGGCGAAAAACTGGGCCGAAAAAGTACGAAGCATTATCAATTTTACAAACTTTAACAAATATTATTGAAGCATTTTTCTCTTTCGTAAAAGCTTATAATATACAATAATAAATTTTTGCTTTTTCATAAATGTGTCGTGATAATTGTCGTTAATTGTTTATTATTAAAAGAAAAAAAAAAAAAAAGAAAAGCATGTTTACTGTGTCTGAATAATTAAAAAAAAAAGTTTTTGCCGTGCTTCCACGCCCTTGCATAATAAAGCTAAAATTCTAGCTACACGTGAATCAACATAACGTACAATCTCACAAATTATCAAAACATAAAAATATCCGTTTCGCCAAGCGAAACATTTTCAGGATATGGCGATTACTGTAATACGAGAACCTTACAAATAAAAACATATTGTGCTACTTTCTCTCTTATATTTATGCTTATCATTCAGTGTTCCTTAAAAAAAATTCAATTTGATACCAAATGGATTTTTAATTTAAAATATATTTATTTTTAATTTGAATCGAAAAGTTTTAAAATATATAAATTGTTATCTCGACAACCAACAATAATGAGATCTCGATACAATACAGGTGAAGAAAATACTTCTCCAGGAAGTTTATAACTGGTGAGAATTTCTCCAGAATTCGAATCGAGAATTTGTAAACTACCATCGATGCAGGCAATTAAAATTAATTTTTCTGCATACCATGGTGTTGCAATAATTGAATTCTCCATCATTGACGAGAATTTTAAATTTGGTTTTAAATTACATTCAAGATAATAAAGAATTTTATTTCTACTTGCAAATAATATTGATTCTCGATTTTTCACAGTGACCAGGTGAGAAAATATATTTCCATTTATAGTATAAGTCCATAACTAAAATACATGAAATTATATTTTCGAAAAGAAAAAATTGATATAAGAATGTTTTTGAAATTTTTACCTTTTCTCCAGATTCAATATTGAGGCATGCAAGTTTTCCAGAGACACTAGCAAAAATAATAACGTTTCCAGTTTCGAGAATTGCTGGCGCTGAAAAAACAGGATCCAAGAATGAATATTGCCACTTGATATTACCTGAAACTTGATCTAAACTGACACAAGTTCCATTCAGAGTTCCAAAGAAAAGACTTTGTGTTTCATTATGTAAACGAGCTGTTCCGGAAATACTTCCCTCGCTTGCTTTCATTCTCCATAATTCTAATCCGTTCTACAAAATATTTTAAAATGTGAGTTTTTCAAAATTTACATTTAATTCAAAAACTTAATAAAATATAAACCTCTAATGAGAGACAATACATGTGTCGATCATAAGAACCGACGAAAATATTCTTTTTTTCTAAACAAGTGATTGCCGTGCATTTAATTGCATCTCCTGTTTGAAATTTCCAAAAAATCTCTCCACTTTTGAGATTCAAACAATATACATTTCCATCATAACAACCTGAAGATTTAAAAATCTAATTATTAATTTCAGTATAATAATAATAATAATATTGCTTCACTCACCAACAACAGCTCGAAAATGATCAAAAACCAAAATCGATGCTTCAATTCTGTCTGGTAGTTGGATAATGTAATTCTCATATGAATTCGAATTTATTTCCAATGTGATAATCATTCCCGAATGAGAGCCGACTGTTGCGAATACCTTTCCACTGTGTAAAAAAAAAGATTACATTTACTTTTCTAATACATAAATATTTTCATTCAAATATAATACATTTAAAAATTGTAACACCTGGAATATTGAAAAATAGTTGCAGAAGCATCTATACATTTTTTCAAATCGAAACATTTTATAATTTCAAATTTAAATTTTCTTTTCAAACAAATCGCTTTCTCATTTTCTATTTCATTATCTTCGCCGTTTGTAAAACCTCGACATTTTTGCCATAAACATTTATCGTTTAATTCATCCTCGTAATTAATTAAATTTCCTTTCTCTTCATTTCTTTCCAAGAATTTGTTTTTTGTGAAATTTTTCTTTTCTTTCGAAACATTATTACTGGAGGAGGGAAAAATTTCAATTCTAGGCTCTGAATTATCTTGTTCTTTATTTTTCTTCATTTCGCTTTGAATATACGTGAGACAATTGGAATAATTAGCATCGTTCAAAAGCAATCCTAGAAGTTCGGGAAATTCTTGTTGGAATTTTTCCGAAAGGGAATTTACAATTTGTAATGCAGCAACTGAATTTCCACCTGATTTAATAAAACCACATTCAAATGAACCGGCTAGTAATTTCCATAGATTAGAAAAAATACTTTCTAAGTTTTTGTTGAATAATTTATGTTTCTCAATACAAATTTTCTTTAAAGATTGATAGCAAATTTTTCCATTTTCAGTGAGTGGAAAATTGTTGATTATATGAATTTCATCGGGACGATAAATACTTGTAAGTGTTTGTAGATGACTCATCAGATCGAGTTTTAGAATATTTTCTTCTTTGAAATTTAATACTGGTGTGACGCAGACGTGTAACTTTTGTTCATTTTCATTCCAAATGCAACAGCAATTTTGAATTGATTTTAATTTTAAAATAGCATTTTCTAATTTACTTAGATCGACTTTGTTTCCGAATCTTTTTATTATTTTATTATTTCTTCCTTTATAAAAGACTCGTTTAGTGTTATCAATCTGGAAAAAAATGAAAAATATTAATATTAAAAAATTTGTTAAATTAAATTAATTGGTTGTTTAACTATGTACCTTAACTTTATCTCCTGTATTCCGAAAAACCGGGGAAGTTACATTTATTTCCTCATCTATTAAACAAATCCTTTTTTGGCTACCTGAAAAGTAATTTAAGTAACAAAAAGAATTTTTTCATCAATAGTGAAAAAAACAGTTTTATCGAAATTTATACCAATGAATAAAATTCCTTCTCCTTCTTTGACAATTTTATCATCCTCAGTTCTCACTTCGAAAAGTGTCTCAAAAAGTGGATCGCCCAAAAATCCATGAGAAATATCATTTTCTGTTTCTTTGTTAAATTCCACGATACTTGCCCAACAGGAAATTTCCGTAATTCCATAGATATTAAATATTCTCGTTTTATTTTGTTTGTCTTTGATACTTTCAAGAGCACTGATTTTTGGAAAAGGTTCACCTCCAAGTAACAAAATTCTTAAATTACTTCTTTCGCCTAATATTCCATGTTTCAAGTCAATTTTTGCAAATTTTCCAAATAAAAGAGATGGTGTCGTTTGAAATAATGTGACTTTTTCACGATCCATAATTTCCAAAAGTTTTCTCGAATTATTTTGTAAATTTCGTGATGCCATGAAAAGTGTACAATTGCTGTATAATGCTAAAAATATTTCCACTATACATGGATCAAAAGTCAGAGGCGTAAGTTGTGCAATTTTATCTCTTTCATTAATGGAAAATCGAGTCCTTAAATCGAAAATATTGTACATTATACTCGCTTGAGGAACTTTTACAATTTTTGAAATACCCGTTGTTCCTGAAGTAGTGATTGCGTAGGTAAAATAATTTTTATAAAAACTCTCTTCAAGATGAGTAAATTTTAATTTTACTAATTGAATATTCTCTCCGTGACAATTTAAATGTTGAATCAATTTTGCATCGGGAATTGTAGTTTTGGTAAATAAATACTGAACTTTTAATCGAGAACATAAATCCAAAGATGATAATGGTGAAATATTTAAAAAACCACGACCGGTTGATAGTATTCTGAAAAATTAAAAAATTGTAGATAATTGAAATTAATTTTAACAGTAATAATTAAAATTCTACATACCCTAAAATTAAAGATGGAATGCAAAAATTCTCTATCTCCAAATCTATAGCTATAAATTGTGAGCCATTAATTTTTAATAAAATATCTTTTATTTCCGATTTTGTATTTTCTATTTCATTGTAGGTGATTTTTTTAATAAAATCCTCGTCATGAAATTCTATTGCTATGTTGTTCATTAAAAAATTATTACACATTGTATTTAATAAATTAAAATTTGTTTCATCAGAAACTTTAAACCTTTTTGCATTTAAATCTAAAATTTAAAACAAAATGTAAACAAAAATATTTGTTTAGTAAATAAATAAATAAAATACTTACCCATATTAAATTGTTAATAGATTATAATGTTATTAAATTAATATTATTTTATAATTAAATTATACAAACGCTTATTATATTTTTTCATCATGTTTGTTTATATTTTTTTTTCATATTTGAGGTTAGTTCTTAGCACCATCTATTAAAATTTCTACAAATTAAATCGAAACATTGGAAATTTGAATTTGAATTTAAAAAAAAGAGGAATGTAATCGTTTAATTGTTTGTTAAATTATTTAGGACTGTCAATATTTAAATAAAAACACATATTTTACAATGTATTAGCATTATTTATTTTAATTTTAAACCTCGAACTAAGGTAAATTTTCAATCTACTGCTCTTAAGAAACATCAAACAATCTCTGAAATATAATTACTTCAGTGATTAAATATAACTTTTAAAAGTCAAATCGTCGAGAAAACAATATTTTAAACATAAATGTAATTTTCTTAAAAGTACTAAGATTTATGTTATATAATAATGATGAAATATTCTTAAATATTGACAAATAAAAATTCAATTTTTAACTCAAAATCAAATAGGTAGAGTGTACCAGAAGATATATACCGTTAATTTCCATCGCCTTTTTATTATCTTAAACTATTTTCCTCTACTTATATATTACTTTTTAAAACACTCGATATTATTATAATATTAAAAATGATTTTTTTTTTAATGATAGCTAAAACACTCATCAAGCTAATAACATTAAACTGGTCCACTCATCCTGTTTGGTTACCATAAAAATATTTAATTTTACTTTAAAAGTAAAACTTGTACTATAAAGAAACGAAACAATGTATAGTAAGGTTGGGAATATTAAATTCCAGGATCATGATTTATCTAACGGACGAAGTGTTACAAAGAATTTACAACAAATGACGAGTGTAAAAATCGTCTTCCTTTTTTTATGCGATACGTGGAAAATAAATCAGATCTGAAGAGAGGAAAAAAAAAGAAACGTTGGAAATATAAGTGGAAAAAAAGCTAGAAGAACCTTAAATAAATAATCTCTCTCTCTCTCTCTGACTGTCACAGCACGAAAAAATTTACTTTTCTTCACACCATTCATTTTCTTTACGAACTTGCTCTTCCTCAGAAGATGAGAAATCATTCTTAATATTGAATGTTTTACGTATTTCATCGGGCGTTTTTCCTTTAATCATATTAGCAACTGTTTTGCATGTGACATCAAGCAAACCTTTGATATCTAAATAGTTTGCAGCTAAAATCAATTCAAAAAGTGTACCTTGATCAACCTGCAATCAAAAAAAAAAAAAAAAAAAAATTGATAATTTATTTTTAATTGTAAAGACAAAAAATTTTTCTTTTAAATCAATCAAATCAAAAGTTTACCTTTAGAAAATCTGCGTCCCACGAACTAATATCATCTGTTCGTTTTTCTTTGTTCTCATCATCCTCAAGAGGAGGAGGATCGTCCTTGTGATAAGTTGCCCATTGAATCACCTTCCTTAAAATCGCCGAATTAACATTAGGCAATGGAACAACTTCCTCTTCATCTTCATCCATACCTAAATCCTCCAACATAGTTTTAATAGTAACTGAACATTTTGCAATTTCAACGTCCACCTCGAATACTTCCCCATCAGAACTTTGTAATTTTATATTCGGCATCTGCAATAAATAAAAACAAAAAAAAAAAATTAATTAACTCAAGTTTAATTTTCAACACATAAAATTTATAATATTATTAATTTAATATAAAATCCCTATTAATATTGTTTTTGTAAACATAAGATTTCAAACTAAAATGCAAATTACTTTTTAAAACCAAAATAAGTCTATTGTCACGGGGAATTTTTTTTTTCAATTAATTACTATCATATTGACGATATTTACAGATCTAATAAATGTGGCGACGTGGAGCTTTTTCTAAAATATTACATTTTATTTAGTGGAAAATTTATATTTCTTTAATCTAATTTGTTAAATACTGTTTTCCCAAAACAAAGAACATTAATTGCCAAGAGAAATTATTAATAAATTTGTGTTGTTTCCAAGGTTAAATGTACAAAGCTATATAGACAATGAATCATTGGATTTTCTGTTTATTGCGGATGATAGAAATTTTAGACAGTAATTTCAATTTGTCGCATCAGAAAGTAAAAGCTCTGTTATGATGTGAAATTAATTAAAATCAAGTTCTCAATTGTACTTTCATTACTGATTTTATCAAAAAAAAAAAAAAAAAGAAAGCGTTCCTAAGTAAAAAAAAAAGATTATTTACCTGCTGCATAATGTCGGAAAATAACGAAAATCTAACTTACCTTTAGAATTAGTTGATATTATTTGAAAATTGTCAACAGCTTTCCTTTATTGAAGGTTTTGACCACAAATTGTTTAAGTACAATTTAAGATAATTTTGAAACAATGCTAATGGGAAAATGCTTAATGCAAGTCGCGTTTTGCTGTAAAATTCCTTCAACGAAATGCACAAGTCCTAACAGGATACAGGAAGCCACGAAGAATTCATTCAAAATGGTTGCTTGTCGTATGGCTATGTGACATGCGCATTTGTTTCTTGTTTCGTTTTTATTTTTCGTTCATTTAAACGATTGACAATAAAAACTACTTTCTTAAAAATGTATTACAATATTATTATAAATTAACCAATTTAATCTAATTAACAGACTATTATGTTTTTAATTAACCTTTTTATTAATATAAAGAATAGTAAAGGCATGCAACATAGAAAAAAATTAATTAGTACTACCAACTGCTTATTTGAATTTGTTTACATTTTTCCAGATAAAGAATTTATTATGTATCACATTTTGTAATAAAAAAAAACATTAATTATTTACTTATAAATGTAAAACAATGAATTTTATTCTTTCTAAAAGCACTGAATTCTTTCTGTTTTTGTGAGAAAAAAAAATTAAAGAAATTTATTATCCATGTGAATTACACTTAAATATTCCCACCAATCAGAAGCTATTACAATTGACAAATCAATCAGCTGATTTCCCAACCTAAATTTTTTTACAAAACAAAGAGATAAAAATACAAAATTACAGTATCAAGTTCATTGTTCAATTTGATAAATAAAGTCTTAATATTAATTATGACAAATAGTGAAATTTAATCATTAATCGTCGCAAATATCACTTGATTCTTTTGATTATACATATACATCATCAATTCTGGAAATAAGATAAAAAAATATTAATCAAATACATTGTTTATATTGCGTTTCTTCTTGTCAAATCAAGTATGTCAGATAAAATAATTTCAAAAGGGAACAATTTAAAATGTCGTCGTGGAAATCGAGGTGTAAAAAAAAGTTCAGAACCTAATGATAGTGATCTGTCAGCAATTTTTTCCTCATTTCTTGATCTATCCGGTTCTTTTGAATCAAAATCACTAAGACGACCGAAAATTCCTTTAAATCATGCTCCTTTTGTTGAGAAAAATGCCGAAATTCATCAAATGGTGGTAGAATCTAGTGATTGGAATACAGTGTCCAAAAATGGCAAGAAACAGAGGAAAAGGAAAAATAAAAATCCTCAGCAAAATCAAGTTCAAAGTCAAAGTTTACAAACTCAAGATGTATGTAAAGAACATAATTCAATTCAACATGAGGAAAAAAATCATATGATTGCAGAAACCAATGACTCGAAAAAATTGCCAAAAATTTTAAAAAGGCAGAGAAAAAAGAAAAATGTCATTCAGAGCCAAAAAACTATTTCCATTCAAACCAATGAAGTTTCAATAAAAGCACAAGTTATTTCACTTCAAACTGATGAAGATAATTTATTAGAAACTCCACAAATTGTTGCAGCTGAATTTAATGCAACTGCAATTTCTTCTCAAGAGGTCAGTCTTTAAAAAAAAACATATTTTAATTAATTCTTTTTTTATTGTTCTTATAATTTTTATTTACATTTTACAGCAAGGATCAATTTCTGAAGGTAAAAAGAAACGAACAAGAAGATCACAAAAAAATAAAGCAAAAATTTTAGAAAATATTATATCAAATGAATTGAGTCGAATTCAAATTAAAGATGCAGAAAATTGTATTGAAAATGTGACAGTAAAGAAACAAAATAGGAGAATTTTCACTAGTTCTAATCTTCGTAAAAAGACAAAATCAGACAAAAAATCTAATTCACAGATAAAAATAAAATCAGAAAATGGTGAGTCTTCCAGTCCAGAGAATAATAAGGAGAAAAAAGATCCAGAAAAAGAGAGATTTCCTCCCTATATTGCTAAACAGGAAGTTGTCAAATTATTAGAAAATCAATCTAAAGATAATCCAGATTTTGTCGAAGGATACGTTCGTATAAATATAAAATTTTACAAACATGCTTATGTTTCTGTATCGGGACATGAGATGGATATTTTAATTGTTGGAATTCGTGATAGAAATCGTGCACTCGAAGGTGATTTAGTGGTTGTTTCAATAAATCCCGAGGACAAATGGCATACACATTCAACAAATGAAATACAAAAGACTGGTGTTATTGTTTGTATTCTCGAAAAAAATCATCCACGCAAAGCAATTGGATTTATTAAGAAAAATCAATCGGGAATTATATTTCAACCACGTGATTCACGTGTTCCTTTTATGAAAATTACTAATCCACAAATTTTACCACCAATTTTTCACGAAAATCCTAAATCTCTTGAGAATACACTTTTCTTAGCTAAAATTAATTTTTGGATTAAACCCGGATTTGCTTTTGGGTAAGTTTTTATTTATAAAAAAAAATTTAAGTATGTATCAAAATTATAAAAAGGTTTTTTTTTCGAATTCTAGGAGATTGAAACAAAGCGTTGGTAATACTGGCGATTTAAGGATAGAAACAGATGCTATTCTTCTTGAAAATGATTTAGATGTAAATCCATTTGATGATGGTATGCTAAAAGGGCTTCCTCCTGGGAATTATATTCCTACTGAACAGGATCTAGAAGGACGAGAGGATTGGCGCAATCATTGTATTTTCACTATTGATCCTGCGACTGCTCAAGATTTAGACGATGCAGTTTCTTGTCAATTATTAGTTAATGGCAACTATGAGGTAAAAATTTAATTTTCTTTTTTTTAAATTGATTTAATTTCTTAATTTTAATAATTCAATTCAATTTTCCAGGTGGGCGTTCATATTTCTGACGTAACTCATTATTTAAAAGAATTCACGGCGTTAGATGAAAAAGTGTCAGAACGTGCAACAACTGTTTATCTTGTTGACAATGTATTTCATATGCTTCCAAAACAATTGTGTGAAATTTGTTCACTTAAACCTGGACAAGATAAACTTACATTTTCTGTTATTTGGGAAATGACACCATCGGCCGAAGTTGTTAGACAACGATTTGCAAAAACTGTCATTAATTCATGTTGTCAATTAAGTTATGATCAAGCACAGGCAATGATTGATAATCCATTAATTGATTGGTCTATGGATTCTCAATTAATTGTTAAAGGTGAACATGACGGTACACAATTATGCGATATTATAAATGATTTATATAAATTATCATTGCAAATGCGTGATAGACGATTTGCTGCCGGAGCTTTAAGAATTGATCAACCAAAATTGATGATTACACTTGATCCTAGAACTGGATATCCGTTTTCTTGTTTTATTGAAGAAAACAAGGACAGTAATAGGTAACTAGTAAATAAATAGAGACAAGAAATTTAAATTATAATCAATAATTGATTCAATTTTAAAAATTTATTTAATGATTTTCATCTTGCAGGCTAATTGAAGAATTTATGTTACTAGCTAATATGTCAGTAGCTAAGCAAATTTATGACACAATGCCGGAAGTTGCTTTACTTCGAAGTCACAAGGAGCCTTCGAATCGTATTTTAACACAAACTCGTGATATGCTTGTAAAATTTGGCGTAATTCTTGATATTGAATCATCTGGTGCTTTGCAACAAAGTTTAACAGATTGTGACGTTGAGTCATCGTCAAATTTTGCAACTAAAAGTAGAATGTTGGTAATAAATTCACTTTGCGCAAAGTCTATGACGGTAAGAATTTTTATTTATAGAATAACAAAATTTAATTAAATTATTAATAATTTAAATTTGCAAAAAAAAAAAACGTTTTTCTTATTTTTTAGAGGGCAATTTACAGATGTTCTAATTCAATAAAAAACGTGGACGATTTAAGGCATTATGCCTTAAGTGTACCTTTCTATACACATTTCACATCGCCAATTCGACGTTATCCTGATTGTATTGTTCATCGATTATTACATGCATCGATTAAAAATCTTCCTTTATCTCCAAAGTGGAACTCTGCCTTGTGCGCCAAGTAAAACTTGTTTTTATTTTCTCTTTTTACTCAAATTACAAAAAAAAAACACTATAGTTTTGAATTAATATTATAAAAAAAATTATTATTAATTGATAATTTTTTTGTATTTAGATTAGCAACGAATTGCAACGTAAAGAAATATTCAGCAAAAGTGGCACAGGAACAGAGCACTGAATTGTATTTTACTTTTTTGCTTGAATTAAGAGGTCCAACAAATGCACAAGCAGTTGTTATGGATGTTAAGGATCGAAGCATTGATGTGATTATCATTGACGTAGGATTAAAAACTCGAATTTATATTTCTGATATTGAAGATGAAGTTTCTGCCGAATATTCAGTAGAACATTCTGCGCCTACTATGAAACTTAATTGGAAAAAAACAGGCTTACAACAGGTATGACATTCTAAACAATAATAATATAATAGTAAATATAACTAATAATTACAAATAATTTAATCAAATTTTATTTTTGTACATTATTTCCTTTCATTTTATTTTTCAGGTAATAAACGTTTTCAGTATTATTGATGTACTGATTCAAAAGCATCCTTCATTTTTCCGTCTACATGGAATTATCTTACCTCCAACTGATAATAATATAAATACAAACAAAAAGCAAAAAAGAAGAACTCAAAAATAAATGAGCGCTAATTTGAAATATTAAACTTGATTAACATGTCAAGTTGATTGAAGATAATAACTTCATTTATGGAAGTTTAAAAAAAATTTACCCTTTAAAGTAAAATATTTACTAAAGTAAATGTTATATTTGATCTCGACGTCAATTTCAATTCTCAACTTGCGTCTAGAATTGTTAAAAACACTTCATTTTTTTTCTGATACAGAAAATATTTCGAAATTTTTGTCATCTAAGCCGTCTCTTCTTTTGCAATTTTATTTATGAGTACCTGATTTATTATCTGATGCTTATTGGGTGCAAAGAATGTACAAAACAAAAAAAACTGAGAATTTTTCTCAGAAGAATTTTGTTATATTTTTTGTCGCAATTATTAACTTCAAGTATAGATAAAGTAAAAAACTATATTGGAAAATGAATTTTAGCTTCCTTTTTTTAGAGAAGCAAATATAAAAAAGATTCTGATGGAACTTTAAAAAAAAGAAAGGTAAATCTTTTTTGCAAAATTACGTTATCCTGTCTTTATTTTTCTCACTGTTCATTCTCCATAATTTTGATATATATATTTATATTAGATGGTTTATTTAAAAAAGGTACTCAAATTTTATTAATATTTAATTTTCTAATTATTTTTTCAAGCGCTAATAAAAGAAGCATAATTTTTTATATTTTGTTCTTTTCTATAGGATAATTTTTGAGGATTTAAATCGAAATAAAAAACTATTTTAAAATAGTTTTCTTTTTATTATTATTTATTTATTTCTTCTAAGTATACACCATAATAATGCGTTTATACAAGTAGTTTTACTTATATATATGTGTATATAAATATATACATAAATTACATTTTCCTTTTCTTTCTTACTTATTTTATAAACTATTTTAAAATAGCTTTTTTAAGTTGTGCAAACCTATTCAAATTTTGTAAAATTAAAACACAACAAAATATGTTCTTAACAAAAAAAAAAATTTCTGATTGCTAATAAAAAAAGTCATGGGAATTTTTACAAAGAGATATTCTTTATTCAGGAAGTTCCCTGCAGCGTAGAAAATTCTTACACTGTTTTATTTTTGTATTGTTTTAACGGGTTCAGTATTATAAATTAACGACGAACAAATTAATTTTCTGATAATTCGTTAAATATGAACAGTGCACAAAATTTTGACAGGTTTTCGTATTAATAACCATTGATTTTTATTATTACATATTATGAAATGTACACATACTCTCAGAACAATGTTATTATTTTTGTTAAGTGATTATATTTATTTCGCTCAATGTTTCTAACTGCGTACTTACAAAGTCAGATGCATAATATTTACTTTTTATATTTTTATATGAAAACAAATATGTTTCTTTTTTAATCGGCTTTAATGATCTCAAAAAAAAAAGAAATACGGAGGGAAACTCAATTATTCACATTTGTATGTGAAAAATAAAATTGTACCGAAAAGCAATTTTAATTTTGTAAAAGTTTTCACCGGTGGAATAAAAATTTTCGAAACGTAAATAATTTTTCTTATTTTTAACATTATTCATCTTTTCAATTCCAATTAATATCAAATAAACCTTTATGATATTTTTTAAAAATACTTATTGAAATTTAAAGTTAGTGCTTTTTTTTAAGTTGCAATTTGATGTATAAATTTAAAAGATCTCATTTGAAGCAACTATTTCGTTAAAAAAATATGAGCGGTAATTTTTCTCTCTAGAAAATAAAAAAAAAATACACTTCATATGATAACGACCTATAATTTTAATCAGGTATATTAATTATTATTAATGGAATATCTTTAAAATTCATTTGAACTTAGTTGATTTATTTCAAAAACTAAAGTCAATCGAATTTTAAAGAATTTATGGAAAAGTCAAATAACTATTATTATACTTTAGTACATTAATTATTAATCTAAATCCTTCTCAATATTCAATCCAGTTATTTGTACACATACACTTCCATATTAACTGAACCATTAAATTTCACATTATTTCAATTTGAAATACATCCAAATTCCAAAATTAATGTAAAAATTTTTTTTTTTTTTTATAAAAAAAGAAAACAAAAAAACCACAATCAGCTCTTTCTTAAAAACAATTTTTTTCCGTTAAAAAATTTTCTCTATTAAATTTTCAAACGAAATGTAATGTTTTAAAAGAAATTCTGTAAAATAAAACCATTTCCGTTCGTCGCTGACCCGATAATAAAAAATAAGTTAATAATTGACTATAAATAAAGCATCGTGGATTATTATACAACTGACAAGCGATAAACTCAAGAACAACAGACTTTTCATTAAGTTAACGCCTTTTAGATAAATATATTAAACTATAAAGAAACAAAATCCGAGTAACGTTTTTTTTTTTTTAGTTATTAATTTATCGTTACTAATCGAGCTGATTCATCAGAATGTACACGAAGCTAAATCTAAATCGTGAATCAAAAATCAATTTGATCTCTGTTGTTGCTGTTGTTGTTGTTGCGATTGTGACTTATTTCTGTGCTCATAATTAACGAGCCTTTTACCCACGAGGTATTTATCATTTTTAATATGCTCATAGAGCTTTTTGAATTGACGAATTTGAAATAGAATGACAATGCAAACAACATTGACCAATAAAAGAAATGGATAAAGACGTCGAGCTATTAGAATTTGTGTTTGAATATTTGTCACTAATAAAGGAACAATTCCATAAGCGACGGCATAAGGAATTGCAAGAGCAAGACCAAAACAACATATTACCGGTGCTGCTAATTCAGTGACAATGAATTTTAAATCCATTTCTCGAATTCCATCAGTATAGGCTTTTTCAATTGCAAGACGTAAACGCCATTCGGGACCCATCATTGTCAATGCGGTTGCTATTTTTGTATAAAGAACACCAAGTGCCCAATCTTGCCAAATAAAAAGAATTGGATTTTGCTCCAATGGTACACGCAATGGAACCACAACAACAAGCTCTAGAAGTAAACCAAATAACAATGGAATCACTCCAATTAATAGGAAAAATGCTACTGACGCTTTAGCTCCAAGAATTGCCCAATGTTTGATACGATCAATTATTGCTCGTCTACCACGTGGAAGCCAAGATATTGCCAATGCTAATCCACGGAATGCCGCCCAACAAACGTACGTTCCACAAGCAACTGTGTAAACTTCGTGAACTCTTCCGCATAATGTCACAATTGGACCGCTTCCATCTAGAGAAAAAAAAAATGAAAATGAATACAAAATTAGTTTTAAAAAATAATTTAAATACTTACTGCTGGTGGGTATTGTCGGTGGTAAAACTGGAGGCGACGGTGCAGGTGCTCCAACCATCCACAAAGCCATTACTCGACGTCCAAGCCAAACGGGAAGTGTCATGGCTATTAAACTCGCAATAACGAGAGAAACGCACACGAAAAGCAATAATCCAATCAATCTTCCATGGAACCAACGTGGTCTTACGTAAGGCTGGAAATCAGTCGGTGCTTCTCTTTGAATCATTGCTTGATGAGCAGCTCCCAAATCTGGATGTTGCGGCTCCTCGGCAATAGCCGGTCCTGGATCTTCCGCTTGATCTCTCAACAGATACGATTGCAAATCAAGAATCCAAGCCACCACTTGACACCATCCTCGCACCAATGCCTTCAACCAAGTCCTCGTGTGACTTTGCTCCAATAAAGCCGGCAAAATCACTTGCAGCAATAACAATTCCAACGACAATTCACTCACCTGAAATTAAAGAAAGAAGAGAATTAATCAATTAAGAAGATTCATTAATAATTATTAAAACATCTTTTTTTGTACAAAAATAAAAATTACCTGAGCTTCACTTTGAACAGTGACCGTGTAAGGTAAAAATCCAGGCCAAGCCCATCGAAGAATTCTCACCGGAAGCCAAAGCATCAATAATATTGCAGTACCAAAAATCACTGCCGACGCAACAAGTCGTCTCACGTGTCGTAATATTGGCAGATGTACCATCTCTTGTATTGGCGAAAAATCAGGATCATTAAGATTTCTCAAAAACCAAAGAACACCGGGTCTTAATACTTCGCGCAATAAAAGAATAAAGGAGGCAAAATAGTAAATATAGACCATTCCAACGAGCCAATGAATAAACATAGATGTACTTGGTGCATGACGAAATGATGATTCTCTATCCTTAAGTGTGGCGTCAAACATTGCCAATGAACAAATATCTAACCACCATCCACAAACCAATGGTAATACACCAATTTCCACCACCGATAGTAATGAGACTTTTACGACAACGTAACAAAGTCCAAGAATACGTTGCGATGTACGTAATCCAAAAAGTGCGGCCAACGTGTGTAATATCACCAAACACACGCCAATTACACAATAACCACTGAGCGTTGTCACCAGTCCCTCAAAATGAGAGGCTGCTGCGTGATCCTGAAGTCCCATGTTTGCTATTGCAAAATGTCCAATATGATATGGACAAAATGCAAATACCTGAGGAAAAAAAATAATTAATACGCTATTCAAAGCATTCAGAAGAAAAAAAAACAATTCTTACAACGATGAAAAGGGTATTTAGAGAAATAACCCAAAAGACATGCTCGAGAAAAAGTAGAGATCCATCTAAACCGAGAAGACGTTCCCAAGTTAGTTCCTCCGCTGGTCGATCCCATTCCATTGGATTCCAATTCGCTTCTTCTGCCTCGCCTTGAATTTGTGCTTGACCCTGTAATGGAGCTGCTTGTCCTTGAAAATGAGCCCTCAAATGAGCCAAATTTCTCATCACTCTACCATTTGGTCTGTCTACTTCTTGACGAGGAGCGGCAATTTCCTCCTCTCTCACTAATCCTTCGGGAAAAACAACTGGATTCACTTCCTCCGGATACATTGGATTATTAATCAACGGATGAATTGCTATTAAATAAAAATTTCAATTTATTGTATTTTAATCATTAATAGTAATGAATAATAATTATTAAAATAAAATTGTTATTAAAAAACAAGTAGTTCAAATATTACAAACCTTCGTCGCCTGGTTCTTCTTCGGCGGGGGGTTCATCGACAAAAGGTGGTATATTATTATTCTCAGGTACCTCTGGCTGATGAATCACACGTTCCTCATCATTCTGTTGTTGTTGACCCTCCACCGCTGGTGGATTATCAACAGGTGGCAATTGTACATTATCTCTTTCTAACCAATCTGGACCGCCTGCATGTAAAATTTGCTCTCGCAACCATACCAAACCAATAAAAGCGACTAGACTACATATTATCACGAGTCCACCATGAAACACGTCCGACGAGATATTTTCCGTCGATATCATATCCATTGGCAATGACAAAATCTAAAGAAAAAAAAACAATTAGAAATCCAATTTCATTAAAAAATCATTGAAAAATGAAAAATTAATCTTACCCGTATTAAATCAAGTGATCCACTAAATAAAACTCTGTAAATACGACATGCTGTTAGTGGAACAATACCGAGCCAAGCAATGGCAACTAGAGTATAGTGTAACCAATATTTAACTGCGGTGACGATACTTGAAAATAAACCACCAATAACGTCTCGTAATGGTAAACGTCGTGGCATATCGGGACTGTAAATTGGAGCAAATGAAAAACGATATCCACAAAGTTCGCAATATTCCTTTCGCGAATATCTCATCCATTGAAGTAAACATTCCTGATGTATCCATTTTATACTACCCGTACAAATACAAGGATGAAAGAGTGGTCTATCAGGATCGTCTGATCGACACACTCTACATATATCCGCACCTAACATGTCCTCCGTCATGTTTAGGTTTTTTTTTTGAAAAATTGTCTCAACTCCCAGCCACTGAAATGACTAATCCTGAAAAAATTCTACTCATTAAATTTCAATTACAAAAAAAAAAGTTTACGAATTTTTATATAATATTTGCAAAAAAGCAATATGGAATATTGAGAAAAAAAACATTTCGACGCATTTAAAAATTTTCCTATTCATGTAATTAAATATTAATACTTTCCAAAATGTCAGTTTTTAAAGAAACTATTTCTCTTAAATTTGAAATATGGCAAAAAAACACATATTTATGTATTTTTACAAATTACTTTTCTACAATGATAAGTATACATAATATCGAGATAAACACAATGACAATAAAAAAATTTGTTTCTATGACTTATCAATTTTAATAAATATACATGAATTTTACTAACGTGTCAAGAAAATTTCTCTTTGAATCATAATATTTTGAAAATTATATTGTTAATAAACAAATGATTTTGTATTGTGTTTAAAAACATTTTACAAATAAATTGAAATTATCTATTTTATTATTGCTACAAGCTGGAATTTGGAATTGTAAAATAGTATTTACCAAGTCAGCTAATTAAATGTCAAAATAGGTTAAAGGCCTTGATTAAAATTTTCCACTAAATACAACTTTTTTTTTATTATATACTTAAATAGATATAAATTTTAAGTACAAATTAAAAAAAAAAATTATACTTACGTGCTTTTTTTAATATCAAAAAAGTACGTAAAAACGAAAATTATAACGCAAAAATATCGAAAATTTTCTACTGCTACTTTTCCTTCCCGTTTCTAGTACTTTCTGTCATATATCTAGTTCACACTGTTGACAATTAAAATCACTAAAAAAATCTAGTGACTTTTATTGAAGCAAAATATAAAGCTCGGTACACATGAATTTCAAATATGGACAGTTTTGGTTGAACCAATCACAGAAGACTTGTCCAAGCGTGACGTCATATCGATGTATCGATATTGCAACTTCGATTCAAGTGAAGTCGCCATTTTCCTTTCGCCCAATCAGGATCAAGCACCATTTCAGCGTATTTGAACCTGTACGTTACTTTTGAAAAGGTCGTATCTCCCTGATTCTTCACATTTGTCTTGGAAAGTCATGGTAAGTATGAACGATTTTTTTTACATAAATTTTTCGCCAAGTGGAGGGGAATAATATTTCAGGTGAATTGGAACTGAATATTTCCTATTATTCCTCTAATTTGTTGCTAAAATTTACAACAATTAAAATTTTCCACAATGGCGTCGTTTGTTGTAGTGAAAAATTTGCAAATAATTTTTGTTCATTTTTATGTTGCAGCTCATACCCAATGGCGGCATTGTTGGAAGACAGGACGAAAAGCGCAGTTCCTGGTTGAATGATGAATAATGTTTCGATGTTTTTATAGAACCTGGTCTCCTTGTAAGGGGAACATTATAAATTTTCTTTAAATGGAAATTTAACGAAAATTTGGATTAACCTAGAGGAGGGATCTCCAGGGTTTATTTAGACTAGAAATGTTTTCATCACACCGGGCGGAATTCATGGACAGGAATTCGCGCTATTAATTGGTAAGTGTGAAATGCGTTTTTAGACTTTTTTTTTTTTATAAAATTAATAACCTAATTATTGAGTCAGCATTTTATCTTTAATTCACATTTAATTGTGATTGATTTCTAATTATTTGTGGGAGTTTGTTCATAATATCGAAAAAGTATCGTTTTTGAGGTTTTAGACAATAGCAAATAATTTTTGTTCATTTTTATGTTGCAGCTCGAATGGCAACATTGTTGAAAGACAGGCCAAAAAGCGCAGTTTCTGGTTGAATGATGAATAATGTTTTGATGTTTTCATGGAACCTGGTCTCCTTGTAAGGTGAATTTTCCAAATTTTCTTTAAATGCAAATTTAATGAAAATTTGGATTAACCTAGAGGAGGGATCTCCAGGGTTTATTTAGACTAGAAATGTTTTCATCACACCGGGCGGAATTCATGGACAGGAATTCGCGCTGTTAATTGGTAAGTGTGTAATCAGTTTTTAGATTTTTTTTTATATAACTAATAAACTAATTATTGAGTCATCATTTTATTTTTAATTCATGTTCAATTGTGATTTAATTCTTATGATTTGTATGGGAGTTTGTTCATAAAATCAGAAAAGTGTCATTTTTGAGGTTATATGCAATTGCAAATTGCTATCTTATACTTGTAATTCTATATTTGCATGTTTTTCATTTTCAAATTTAATTATTATGTTGATATTAATTCAAGAATTGAATGATGCACGATTCTTGTCGAAACTTGAATCGATGGTTAGGGATGAGAGGGGTGCTTGATTCATTGAATATGTTTATCGACCTTTCACAGGTAAACAATTGGGGTTATCCAACAATTGTTTTACCTCTTAAATTCTCTTAATCTAAAATAGTTTAATCTGAATTTTACCTAAACATAGAAACACATCATTTAATAATATTATAAATAATTAAAAACAGCATTTTGATAAATAAAAAATGATATATTTTAAAGTTTTTTACTATTTCAGCAATTAAAATTGTTTTTTCTTTTTCTTTTCAGAGCTACATTCGGAGATAACAAATTCCAGAATAATAATAAATAATATTTAAATTCAGTGCGGGAATGTATATAAATACATTTAAATCAAAAATTTCCTAGAGTTGCGAAAATTAAAAAAAAGTGTTCCATTTTCTTCAAATTTTATAAATCTTATAAAATAATTTAGATAATATAATTTATATACAGTACGGGACTTATAATATTTTTTCTAATAAATAAATTGAAATTTTATAGTGTTGCGAGAATTAAAAAAAAAGTGATTCTAAAGATTTGAAAAACTCCAATTATACTTTATTTTAACAGGTAATTTAAATTAAATAATTTATTTTACCTTTATATTTACAGTTTTAATTTGCTTAAACTAATTAACTTAAAAATTTAATTAGTACATTAATTTTTTGAATTTTATTACATTTTTTATTTTTGTAGGTTAAAAGGACAGAAAGGAAGGAGTTTGCAGGTTGCAGATCAGTCAAAATCAGTTTTGCAGAGGAATAATGGACCCAGCATCCCGCCAACTTCTGAATCAACAAACGGTGAGTCCCTCTTGTCTAAATGAGACAGGTTGTAATTAATTTGTTAAATTCCACAGTGAAAGGCACTTTAATTCAATTAGTATTTTATTTAGTTGAAATGAAATTTCATTTGCTATTTCGATTTGGGTTTTTCAATAAACTGATATTTTTCATTCGTATTTGTGTCACATTTTCGATTTATTTTTCGATTTTTGATCTCTTTTTGTTTTCCTATGCTTCGTTGTCGTTTTCTATAATCTTGATCTTCTCTATTTGTTTAGTTGTTTGTTTTTTTCTTGTTCGTTTTTGTGTTTCATCTCCAAATTCGTTTTGTTTCAAAAATTGTGAAAATTTCTGCAATCAAAAAATAATTATTTAATAAATAATTCATTAATTTAATAATAATTAACTACCATTTTATATAAACAAATAATAAACAAATAAAAAAATTAATAAATATTTAATAAATAATAAATGAATAAAAAATAAATAAACAATAAATACATTTTTTAATCATTGTTTATAATATGGAACATTAATTTAAATTATTATTCCACAATTAGATTGGATAACAACAATAGATATTTCTTAATTACTATTTAATTAACAATTGAAAATAGTGGTTTTTTTATATTAAATTTCATTACATTTAAATTTTGCCGCCCCCTCGTTTTCATGAAATTTCCAATATTTCCTTATGAAAACATTGAAAGTTTCAATGAAATTTAAAAAAAAAAGTTGTGTAAAAAAAATGTAATTTAAATTGGCGCTGCTATCAGTTGAGCAGAAAATATTGTAGTAAAGAGTAGTAGTTTCCAATCTTAGCATTTGTATATAATCAAAGTATTTTGGCATTGTAGCCAAGAAGAACTAGCGATTTGTAGCCATTTTGTGTGTTGTGGAACCAGCTGTCTTGTGTATATCAAAGTGACTTCCTTATTAGTTTAACGTGATATGTCAAAGACAGCAGTCATTTAATAAAGAAAAAATGCGCAGTGTCAATGGAATTGCGCTAATTGTCTTGAAATAAAAAAGATTTGATAAACAAATGCTGAATCAGGAATTAAAGATCATTGGCATTTTGTAAAACAAAGACATTTCCTTGTCTACTTTTATTGACCTTGGCCTGTTCTTCATATATACGAGTGAGTATTATCCTCGGAAGTGGTTAAAAATAGGACAAGTCTCTTTTTAATTTCAAAAAAAAAGAATTATGCTAATTTTTTTTCTATTCAATTGTGTCTATCACGCTCCTGTTGTTTTTTTATTCAATCAGTGCGTAGCACATTTATAAAACATGTTGGAAACTACTGCTCCTCACTATAAGCCTATTAAACATCATTATTTGATTATAAAAAAAAAGGAAAAACTAAGCTGGCTAATTCAATCAAATGACATTTGAAAATACATATTATTGCATTAATATAGTTTAAAGTTTAAATGTATATACAGACTAAAATAACTTTCTCTTGAATTGAAAGGGATACTTTAAACGTCAAAACGGAATGAAATAGAGGTCATAGCACTTGTGAATTCAGAGAAAAATAATTCTTATATTATATTCTATAAATAATTTAAAACAAAAGGTTGGAAAATTTTCTTTTGTAGTATTTTTAATTTTTTAAATAATCAATATTATTTTGATTTTTTGTTTGTTTATTGTGTGCTAAGATTTTTCAAAATACTTATCTTTAATTTATAAAGTGATTCGTAATCGTCATTTAGTTGTGATTTAAATTTATAAAAAGTTAATTTACTGAGAAAATTTGTTATGTAATTGAAGTACTTTTGTTTGTATTTGTCGTAAATCATAATAAAAAATACGTAGAAACAAGTAATAAAAATAAATTAAGTGTTTTATAAAATCGGAATCTTTTTTTTGTTTTTGAATTTATATTTTAATTTTAATTAATTTTATTTCTTTTTTTTTATATTGTGACGATGATTATGTAATTTTTTTTTTGCAGTATTTCGACATTTAAAGAAATGTAAAAAATCTTTGGCACATATATAAAGACGAGTAATAGTTTTTAAATTATTTTAATGTTTTGTAATATGAGTAATATGTTTATGTCTTGTTTTATTATTACTCATTCTTACAAATATGTATCTAACATTTGCTATATTTATTTGTAAGATACAAAATCTATAATATATTTAAAAATGCATAGTCATCTACAAATTTAACTTCCTGGGAGCCATTTAAAATCTGATTCATTTGTGATGGTGATATCACTACGTCATTTTTAGGCTTTAAAATTGTTTTTCAATGTTTTCCTGGTTTAAAATTTACGATTTTTTTATTTTATTTTTACTTTATTTTCACTTATTACTATTTATATACAAAAAAATTGTTTTTTATGAGAAAAAAATTCTAAAAATCATGATTCTTTTATTGATTCGTATTTTTTAAAATAGAATTTTCCTTTTTAATCGATTGATTCATAATTACAAGGAAAGAAAATTTTCCATCTCATTAAAATTGAATAGTAATTTTTTTTTGTATAAGAGGAGAATTTCTCACACCTTTTATTAAATTCTTTTAGAAATATTTAACATTTCAGAAATTCTGTAGATTTTAAAAAACCAAAAAAAGAAGATGTGAAAAAATTTTATTTTAATCCTTTGTGTTATGATACACCTTTGTTTTTTCGTTTTTTGCGTTTAATTTTATTAGTTTATGGAATTAACCTTCGGAATATTTTTTATACTAACGTTAAAAGTAAAAAAGAAGTTCTGGAAAAAAATATAAATTCTATAATTTGTTAATTAAAATGGAAATTTTGCTAATTAAAAATTTCTGCTATATAAAAATTTGTTTAAATAAAATTTTATTTAAATTAATACTTTTTAAAATATGAGTCAAAAGTTTTGAACGTTCAAATGAACAACATTTATTTTGCAACTTCTTTAAGTACTAATTTTATTACAAAATATTGTTTTAAATATCTAAAAAGAAATTGTTAATTTAATATTTGTTTAATTAACTATTTTATTTTACATTGACATTATAATTTTTGATAATTTATAGATTGAAAAAAAATATTTTGTTCATTTGAACGTTCAGAAATTTTTGCTCATTTTAAAATAAAAAATTGGTTAAATGAAAATTTGTTTAAATAGAAATTTGGTTAATTAAAAATTCATTTAAATAAAAATTTACGCTAAATGGAAATTTGATTGAATTAAAATTTGATGAAATAAAAATTCTATTTTATAAAAATTTTAAAAGAAATTCCATATTTTGAATTTTGATGCTCTTTAATTTGAAATTTAGTCTGCAAATAAAAAAATATATTTAACATTATTTTATACAAGGCAAGTTTTTTCCAAAAATTTTATCAACGTGCTCCTCTGTAAAAATTCTCTTGGAAATTGATAATTCTTTATAGATGACAATTGTGGGTTTTTTTTTTTTTTGTAACAAATCTGTTTTATTTGCAGTATTCTCTACTGTAAAAAACATCAATAAAAAATCAGGCAAAAGGATGAACGAGGAAAATGATCAAAGTGAACAAAGTGAAAAGATGGGTAAACCATCGCATGCCCTTCCAATGTATATTAATTCCCATAAACCTTGTGTCAATATGTGGATGGATAAAATGGATAAAGGTGCCCTTTCTCTATCGAATTTAAAAGAACACTGGAGAATTTGGGTGCCAAAAATTTATAGTCCCGAGCCAAATGATGATTGTCTCGATTGGAATTTCGATGAGGATACAGCGAAAAAAATGCTCTTTAGTACACTCGAGGAATTTATTTGTAATGGGGAGCCACAAATTGTTTTAAAATTATTAAGCGAATTAGATAATCCACCATCGGTTTGTGGACGTGTTCTTAAAATGGGTGAACCAACTTATAATTGTCGTGAATGCGGTGTTGATTCCACGTGTGTATTGTGTCTCGATTGTTTTAAACAATCGGAACATCGTAATCATAAATATAAAATGGGAACATCGCCTGGCGGTGGTTGTTGTGATTGTGGCGATACTGAAGCATGGAAAAAGGAACCTTATTGTAAAATTCATTTGGCCGGTATAAGAGCAAGAGAATCGGGTGCACGTAAATTACCACAGGATGTCACTGATCGTGCTGTTGTTATATTTGAAGCGGTTTTGAAATATTGTTATGAATTATTATCAATGGAACATACACCAGGTTTACCATCGGATTTATTATTAAAAGATACTGATGAAAATCCATTGGGTCTATTAGCGACAGCTGATACATATTGTACTGTTCTTTATAATGATGAGATACATACATTTGATCAGGTTATTAGTACTCTTACACGTGTGATAAAATGTACTCAACGTGATGCAATTGAATTTGTCACGAATATTGATCGTGAGGGTAGAACAGTGATTAAATGTTCTGGATTTTCACATTGTAGTGAATTAAAATCAGAAATTGAACGTTACATGACAAGGAATAATAATCGACCGTTGAAAGTTCTTGTTGTACATGCACATGTGATAGCGCATCAAATATTTGCCATGAAATTATTAAGATGGTTGCAGGGTTTTATTAGTCTTTGTGAAGGTTTTCGAATATTGTTCAGTAATATTGCGTTAAATACAAAATTACCGGAAATGACAATTGTTGAAGGTATATTGATGAGGGATTCACAACTTTGGAAATCGGCGAGAACTGCTTGGCATAAATTATTTATTACTGGAATGCTTATGGAATATGAAAGTAAAAAAGCACTTGCAATTGTTTTTACACATAGATATGGTTCAGTTATGAAGGATTTTATTCGTGATGATCATGATCATTCATTTTCAATTGTTTCATTTTCGGTTCAACTTTATACGACGCCAACTTTGGCACATCATTTGATTGCACATCATGATGTTTTGTTTATTTTGTTTAATACTTTTATTTCGGAGAGTTCACGTAAATGTAATGCTGCCGGTAAACTTGAATTTGAAAGAAATTCACCGAATATTCCATTTAAGAGGGCGCATTTTATTCTTTATGATTTGAGATATTTGTTGAGTGTTAAGCCAGATACATGGACTGATGAATTGAGAAGGGGATTTTTACAGGGTGTTAATTTGTTATTGACACTGTTGTGTAGTATGCAATCAATGGATGCTGTTGTGAGGCAAGTTGGTCAACATATGGAATATGAACCCGAATGGGAGTCGGCTTTTAATCTTCATATAAAATTATTTCCGGTTGTTAGTCTTGCTTTAGAATGGTGTGGTTCTGATAAATTGGTATTGATAAAAGCATTTCGTTTGGTTTTGAAGAAACTTTATGAGCAACCTGATAGTGGACGTTCACAGGTGAGAGAATTGGCTGATTATAGTACATCTTGTATTCAATATGATGTTTCCTCAGAACCGGTGTCAATACATCTTCCATTATCACGTTTTCTCGCTGGATTATTTCTCTATCTTGAACAATATGATCTTCATTTTCAAAGTCCGGAATTTTCGGCTCAAACAAAACCAACACCTGAACAAATTATCGAACCAGTATTACGAGCACAGGCAATGATTTCTCAAGTTCATGCGGGTATGTGGCGAAGAAATGGATATTCCCTTATAAATCAACTTTATTTTTATCATAATGTGAAATGTCGAACAGAAATGTTAGATAGAGATATTATTCTACTTCAAGCTGGTGCTGCACTCATTGAGAGTAATGAATTTTTAATATTGATTTTAAATAAATTTAATCTTCTCAATTGGGCTGATCCTGAATTTGAAATAAATACATTGAGAAATCCAGAGGAGGACAGTATTAGGCAGACTATTAATTTAGTGGAGGAATTTCTTGGATTGTTGAATACAATTATTGGTGAGAGACATGTTCCTGGTGTGGGTCAAGTTACTGAGGATGATCGTTTGAGAAAGGAAATTATTCAACAACTTTGTATAAAACCATTATCACATTCGGAACTTAATAAAACATTACCTGATGATGTACATCATGAAACTGGAATGGAGAGAGTTATAGACGATGTGGCGAATTTTAAGAAATCAATGAAATTATCCGGTGGTAAAGGATTGTATAAATTAAAACCACATTTATATCCTGAGTATAATATTTTCTTTTATCATTATACAAAAGAGGAACTTAGTAAATCGGAGGAAGAGCAACGTAAACGTCGTAAGGCTGCTGGTGAATTGGAATGTTGCCCGCCACCACAATTGCCAAAATTAACCGAATCATTTAGTTTAGTGGCAAATTTATTAAAATGTGATGTTATGTTTCATATAATGCAAACTGTACTCGAACGTGCATTAAATTTACGGGCGAGAAGTTATTCCGAGCCGCAGGTGCATAAGATACTTCATTTGATTGGTTACGCTCTACAAGAACAGGAATCGGGGAATTATCCATTTTTGAATTTTACCAATCGTGCAATAAAATGGAATATTTTGAAATTATTGGAAGATCTTTCGAGTAGTCCGCGTATTGATGCGCACGCCGATTTGCTCACTTGGGTTTTGGGTAAATATCGTGAAGTTGCCGGTGTTTCAGAGAAGGAACCAGTTGCAACGACATCAACACAACAAATTGAAGAGCCAGAGAAAAATGGCAAGGAATGGCGAACAAAAATGGCAGCGCAGAAACGTGCAAAAGTCATGGCACAAATGGCAGCGATGCAAAGTCATTTTTTGAAGAAAAATGCAAAATTATTTGAAGAGACAACACTTGATATTGATAATAGTGAAAGTAAAGGATCACCGATGGATTTAGTTGAATGTACGCAGGATACAATTGTTGCATTGGGTCATGGACAAACAAATCGTTTGTGTGATAAAAAAACAGATACATGTATTCTTTGTCAGGAGGATCAAACAGTCACGGCATCGGGTTCTGGTCTACAAGTTATGGTATTGGCAGCGTTTGTTCAACAGTCAACTGTTCTTTGTCAAAATCGTGACAATAGTGTTGAACCGGATCCACTTTATTTGTCGGCAAATTTGGGAGCATCGCCACATACACGTACGTGTGGTCACGTGATGCATGCATTATGTTGGCAAAAATATTTTGAAATTGTTTTTAATAAGGAAAATAGACGACCGTATCGATTGAGACAGCCATCGAGTTTTGATGTTGAACAATTGGAATATCTTTGTCCACTTTGTGAATGTTTGAGTAATACTATATTGCCATTGATGCCAGCATTGGGTCATTTGCAACCTTCTTTTCAACAACCGAATCTCACATTTGAATCGTGGTTGAATGCATTGAAAATTGCATTGAGTTGTAAAAATCAAAAAAATGATTCGGTGGAATTGACAAATGTTCATGATGCAACGTGTCGATATTGTTTGGCAGCTGTAAAACAGGGATCATCGGCCGAGGCATCATCGTCCGAGAGTGAAATAATTTCATGTCCGGTGCAGAAGATTATTGATCAACTTGGTGATGATGGAGTTGCATTTCAATCGCTTTATTCAAAATCGGGACCGAGTTTATCGGAACATTTGGTGTCGATGATACATACTTTTGCTGAAGCAACGTATACGAAGGGATTGAATGTGATTGCACATGGTAGAGATCCAAGAGTGCCGCTGCTTGCTTGGAAGTCAACGGCCTTCACTATTCATGCAATTGAATGTTTATTGAGAGAAACAGATAAGCCGTTACTTGGTGCTTTATCGTCGAGGCAGAGGGATAGTTTGGAAGGTTTGGCAAGAATTTCGGCAGTAATGGGATCAACGTGGACGGATTTTTCATCGGAATCTGATAGTTCAAGTAATGATATGACTATTGCGAATCATGCACTGGATTATTTGTCGATGCTATTGGAGAGCCCGCAGGACGGTGTTTCGATATATGATTGGGATCCTTTTGGTCTTCTGGTTGGACTTGTCAATTCACTGCCAAGTTTATTCAACACGAAAAGTAATGAGAATCCAACACTTCTTACGGGAGGAATTGCGGAACTTTATGCTTTGAAACTTGTGTTTATTGGATTGATTGTGAAAATTTTATTAACAACAAAATTCGAGGAAGGCGAAGTAATGGATGTTGATGGACAATTGTCAGACGATGATGATGATCATTGTAAATCGATATTCAAAATGGCTGAGACAATGAAAATTCCCGTTGGTAATCAAACAGCTGCTGAATTATGGAGACGTGTTAAAAATGCGTGTTTACCATTTTTGAGATGCTGCGTTTTATATTTTCATTATGTGACTGATGTACCGGCATTGATTGAATTAACAAGAGAAGGCGGCGATACGTATGAGAATATTTGTAAATATCTTGGACTTCCGATAACGTGTGACAAATTATTAGACTCGGAAATTGTTATGCAATTGGCGAAAGTTTGGTCTGATCGTCCTGATGTGAAGGATGAACGAATTAAAGATGTGGCTATTAAGGAACCATTGAGAGTTAATAAATTGGTTGATCTTCCCGATGATTATAGTGAGCTGATCAATATGGTATCGTTGTTTGCATGTCCAAATAGTGATCGTGAAGATTCGAGAAATCCAACAATGTGTTTAGTTTGCGGTGCAATGTTGTGCTCGCAAAGTTATTGTTGTCAGACTGAATTAAATAAAATGATGGTCGGTGCTTGTTCATATCATGCAAGTAAATGTGGAGCTGGTGTTAGCGTTTTTCTACGTGTACGCGAATGTGAAATCCTCTATATGAGAAGTCCCAATCGAGGCTATTTTGCATGTCCACCTTATGTCGATGAATATGGAGAAACTGATCAAGGTTTACGGAGAGGGAATCCAATGAGACTTTGCCGAGATAAATATAAACAATTAAATCAACTTTGGTTAGATCATGGACTACATGAGGCTATTGCAAGAGCCATTGAATCTTCCAACAATCTCATGTCAACACAATGGCATCATCTATAACTGTTTTAGTGATCATTACAAATTTTAGCCTGGACGTTTAACCAAAAAAAAAAAAAAAAAAAAAAAACTAAAAAAAAATATTAAAACAAGAATTATGATTAGTGTAAGTAAACAAAATTAACACTATATATTGTTAGTTTTTCTTTTTCTCAAATTCACCGAAAAAGAATATTCTTCACTAATAATAAGTAATAATTTAATTTTTCAAATTTTTGGAAAAACAATTTAATTACTTATTGAAGAAAATTTTGATTATATTAAGAAAATTATTTTTTGTTTTAAAAATGAATTTTCTTTGAAAAAAACAATTTTTTTAGATTAATAAATGAATTTTGCCAAATTTGTCAAATATTTTTTTTTATCAAATTATTTTTTGATTGCTTAGAAAAATTCACTCTGGGTTGAATATTCTAATTTTTTCAAGTGTCAGATGTCGATATTCGGATTATTTCTGGAATTTGAAGAATTCTTTTCTCGGTGTAGATTGGAATCTTTTCTTTGGTTGCAAATTCGTTAAATTCTTTATATGTATGTATATATTTTCAGCGCTTGAATGTTACCTCTAGAACTTGGAAAAGGGCGCAAGAAGGAAACTCAAAAGTGAATGAATCTGATTGTTTTTCGATTTTTTCTTTAAAAAAAAAAAAACAACGATCACAGAATTATTATACCAGTGATTCTATTATTTGAATTCATTTTGCGTCCATTTTGTTTAATTTCAAAATCATTATCGTTACAGCGTTTCAAATTCTTTTAAAGTTTACTCAACTTTTTATTGTGTGAATTTAGATATAAATCCATTTACAATTTACTAATCAAAAAAAAAAAAAAAAAAAAAAAGAAACAGAAAAAGAGAAAGTTTTGTGATTTGCAAACAGAGGCATAGCTAACGAGAACTTTGGGTGTTATTTACGGCAATAATTATAAACTAAAAATCAAAATTTATTTTAAGTGCGAAGTTATATGACAATTATTAATTTATAATTGTTGAGTGATTTTGATTATGTTGAAAATTGTAGGAAAAATGAAAATTGTTTTTTATAAGTCCCAAATTATAGTTTGTTAGGCCACTGTGTTATTTGAAAAAAAATATTAACAACGCTTCGTTTTTCCCCTTAGCCAACTAAAATACCCGTCCACAAAAAATTATATTATGTATTCTTCGTTACAATTTTGAAGAAAAAAAATATTTGACTTTCTTGTTATGCTCGATAGAGTATTTGAGTTGCTTGGCAAAGTTAAATTTTAGTTGATTTCGAATCCTATAGAAATGAAATTTTATTTTTTTTAAATGAAATCATTTTTTTAGTACAAATTGTTTTACAATGTTTTTTTTTTGATAATTTTTTTGTTTAAAGAGAATTTTCACTAAGTATTGTCGTGTAAACGAAAAATTAATAGTGTATAACAAGGAAGATTCGATGTAAAATTTTTTATAAGCATAATTGATTCTTTTAAATATAGGAAGAATTCTCTGTAAATATTAGTCAGTATTTATAAGAACCACAAATTTCTTAGAGAACTTCAATGTTAAAACTTATTTAATAAAAAGAAAATAGACAAAAATATGTTTTGTCTCATAAATGCGATATTAAAATGTTTATTTGAAATTACTTTATATTAATTAATTTTCTTTTTCTGACGTTTAAGTTTTCTAAGATGCAATAATTTTTATTGGCAATTTTTGAAATTTTTTTTTAATCCTGTTTTTTTTTTGTATTTTTAATTGATTTTTTTGCTGATATATTAACGTTCTTAGTTTTACTTTAAAAAAAATAGTTTTATTTTTTAGTTGTTAATTTGGTATTCCTGGTGATTACTCATTGAAAAAAAGAATTCTAGTTGTAGTAACTTTTTACAAGACTAAATTAGTTTTTTACGTTTCAATGATATTATTTTTTTTTCTGATAAAATTGTACCTTAATATATACATTTAAGTCGTTATTTGTGAATTGAAATGTTTGCATCATAAGATCATATTTTGCATCATAATTGTAAAATAAATTTTATTAAATATTTACCAAGTTTCTTTTTTTTGTGATAAATATTTAAAAAGAAAAATTGTTTAAATTTTCTAATAGTTTAAGTTTATTTTTTACAATTAAATAATTGTTTATATTATTTGATATATATTGAAGAATATATTTGAATAAAAATGATTTAAATGTTTTTTTTTGCCAAATTTTGTCTTAATTTTAAATATATTTCGAAAAAAAGGAATTTGCGTGTTACAATCAGTTGGTAAAATATCTACATTATCAACCATTGATATTTAATTTTATCACTGATGGTAAATTAGATTTCTTTGTTACTTTTCGGGATAATTATTTATTTTATAATTTGTGAATATTTAATTTATTAAAAATAATAAGACAAATTTTTTATTTGTTAAAAAAAATAGTTTATTTATTTTTGAAATAATAACTAGTATTCGAGGGGAAAACTTTTATAATGCCCCTGAAGAAAGTTTTTCCAATCTACTTTTCTGTATAGCTGGAAGTCTAACAGAAGGGGCTTTTAATTAAAAAAAAAATTATTCACATTAATTGAATTATTAATGAATATTATTAATTATAGTTAAAAATTAAAAAAAAAATTTAAGAAATATAAAATCAAAAAATATTTTAATAATATAAATAATAATAAAATAAATAATAATTTTCTTTTTTAAGAATATTTTAAAAACAAAATGAAGCAATATTAATAATTAAATAAAATAATTTTTTAAAACTATTTTCAAAATTAAACAATTTTTAAGAATGCAATACAATTATAATTAGGAATTAATTGTTTCATTTATTGATATAGTTGTGGTTGTAACTTAAAATTATAGTAGTTCAAAATTTTTGTATAGGAAAATATTGGTTTTTTTTCAAATATTATAGTATTTTCGAAAGATTGTTGATTTTTTTCTGCTAGTTAGTTTAAAAATATTGTTAAAATATTTTAAGCAGAAGAGTACTTGGTTGAAGATCTATTCTTTTTCCCTAAGGGAAAAAATTTCTTTTGTTTCTTGTTTAGCTGATAATCCACAGTTGATATACCATTTTTAACCTCGTAATAAAGTTTTAATCTCGGTCACGTTGAAGGTTGTATTAGAGAGGGAGAGAGAGAGAGAGGGAGAGTAACAAGCCGTTGGCGATGATCGATTGCATAGTTTTCCATAAATAAAAAAAATTTTGTCATGAATCTATTTCACCCTGGATTCTCGAGTTACAATAAAAACTGCGTATATATATGCCTCAAGGGTGTTTGGTAAAGAAATACAAAAATCGAAGAGTATAGGAGATAATAACACATTGTGCCATTGAAATCGAAAAAAGCATTGATGCAATATTTCAGTATAAAAAGTTAACTAAAAAAAATTTGTTATTAATTTTTATTTTGTTATTAAAAATAGATTGCTTAAAAATTAAACAAAAAAAATTTATATCAATTATTTTCATTTCTATGTTTTTATTTAAATTATATTTATTATTTATTGTTATTTTTTTATTCTTAAATTTACGAATATATTTTTATTTGAAAAAAAGGAATACTAAATATGAGAATAAATTGACAAAAAATATATTGAGACTATAAATTTAGTTTTAATAATAATGATATTCGATTTTTCTAGATTTCTTATTTAAATTGATGATATGTTGAGTGTAACTTGGTCCATGAATGGAAATGAAAACGCTTTGATCCTTAGGGATATCGAGATAGGAAAATAGGGCAAACCAGGTCGTGTCTCGTGTCTGTCCTATTCTTATACTTGAGCCTCAATGTGCCAAAGTACTTGTGTGGCATGTAGGTTCCTTTGTTATGGGATGTCTAATACGCCCTCGCATCGAGTGATACGATAAGCGAGCTGAGTGGTACTCTTGGTGTTGGAAGCTTCGAAATTAATTCTGGAGAGAAGAACCCCCTTATAATACTCATACTTCCTCTCTTCTATATATATAGTATTCTCTAGTCTTTCGCTTACCCGAACAATTTCTAAATAAGTTTCTCAAGTCCGAAAATGACAATTACAATTGGAAAAATAAATTCTAAAATTAGAAATAAATATTCTGCGCATTTAAAATGCAATTTATTGATTCTTCTCTATTTTTTATATGTATATTTTTAAATCGATAAATAATTTAAATATGTACAAAAGGCTTTTGATAAAATTGTTTTCCAATGAAATGTTTCGCAATAAAATTGACGATAGTTTTTTCCTCATGAAAACAATACAGTACATTTTGAAAATAAAGCTTCTTTATTCTTTGTTTGTTTCTATTTAAAGGTTTCTTATTGCTTCTTTCTGAAGCTGCTTTTACTCTATCGATAAAATCCTCGGTGAAAGGAATAGTTAGAATTCGACGCTCTTCTTTTGTTTCTTTTTTTTTATATACCCTTTCTCGATTTCCTCACCGGAAGTGACTGGAAGTCTTCCGCACTTTCCTGCTTACCGCTTTCTTTCTTATTTTTCTTTTTGTCCCTTCTCCCTCTCTCGCTCTCTTTCTTCTTTTTCTCTTTTTTTTTTGTAAACTCGCTTTTTCTGTGGTTCCTTTGAGGGTTGCAAAGCAAATTTACAAATATACGAGAAACGACTTCTAAGAAGAAAGGATTACGAGTCAATAGAGAGTGTTCAATGTTCATGTGTATTTACGCGGTGAAAAAAGGAAAAAAGAGAGAGAGAAGGGGTGAGGAGAAAAAGAAAATAAAATAGGAAAGAAAAGGAGATGGACAATTTAAGAGATAAAGTATCAGAAGAGCTTAAATAATCAATCGACAAGGCTGACCAAAGGCAAAAGCCAGTAAGGATTGGATAGTGTGTAAAATGCTTGTAGTTCTTTCACTTCTTTTTCATTTTCAATTCCCTATAGTTGATTGTGAGTGAATAGAAATCCAATTTGTGAAAAAAAGTTAATGCGCTGAAATGTAGAAATTGAATTATTTTCATGGATAGAAAAAAAAATTATTATTTTAATATTTTATTGTTAAAGAAAATTTTGTTTTATTTTCTTTTCATTATTGTCGAAGAAAATATTTAGAAAACAAAATTTTTGTCTGGCTATTATATCTATTTCTATCTTGAAAGGCAAAATTTTGTCTGACTTAATTTATTTTTTCTACTTAAAAAGTAGATTTTTTAAAACTAAGTTTAAGTATTTTTAGTTTACTTTTCTACTTGAAATGTGAATTTTGTAACAAAAATTTGATTGTATTAGAAGTGTCTGACCTAAAATAGTTTTTCTACTTAAATTCAAAAATTTGTCTGACTTATCGTTTATACTTTCTACTTAAATGTTAAATATATTCTCATTTGCACGGAGAGACCGCCGGTTGGAAAAATTACTAAAAAGATTTACAAGTAGCGGAAATAAGGTTACTTTGTCATATATTGCTGTAGGAAATCGAAAATTCTATTAGCAGCATACTTAATAAAACCTGTATACTATAGTAAAATTGCACACAAATTAGAATAGAAATTACTATAGTCTACAGTTTTATTAAGTATGCTGCTAGTAGAATTTTCGATTTCCTACAGCAATGTTTGACAATGTAACCTTATTTCCGCTACTTGTAAATTTTTTTAGTAATTTTTCTAACCGGCGGTCTCTCCGTGTGGTGTTATTTTTTTAGTTAAAAAATTGTCTAAATTAATATATATATTTTTCCATTTAAAATATTGATTCTATCTTTCTACATAAAAATGCGAATTCCGTCTGACTTAATTTATTTTTTCTACTTAAAAAGTAAATTTTGTTTGACTATATTTTTTTTTCCTTGAAATGTGAATTTTGTAACAAAAATTTGATTTTATTAGAACTGTCTGAACTAAAATAGTTTTTTCTACTTAAAGTCAAAAATCTGTCTGACTTAACGTCTATACTTTCTACTTAAATGTTAAATTTAGTCTCAATTGGTATTCTTTTTTTAGTTAAAAAATTGTCTACTTTTCCACTTAAAATTAATTAATTTTTTCTATATGAAAATGCGAATTTTGTCTGACTTAATTTAGCTTTTTCTACTTAAAACTTAAATTTTGACTTGATTTTTTTCTTAAAAAACTTAAAATATTAATTTTGTTATTGAATAATAATTGTACTAGTAAGGCGATTATTGTCTGAACTAAAATACTTTTTCTACTTAAAGCCTGACTTGATTCTCTTTTTCTACTTAAAAATCGTTCATTTGGTCCTTCAATTCATTCTTCGATTAGTGTGGAACTTTGTTTATCTTCACATACTTTCTCATTATTTTCAGTTACACTGAAAAAAAATTTATTTGATTCAAATACTGTATTACTTGACTATTATCAAATAAATATTTACTTAAACCAAATAATTTTTATTTGAATTAAATAAATTGTATTTGAACCAATAATTTCTGTATTTGAAATAAATACCATTTATTTGATAATAATCAAGTAATCGAGTACTTGAACCAAATAAATTTTTTCTAGTGTATCTAGTTTTAAAAAATTTCTATTTATAATAATAATACTAAAAAATTTTGTATATAATATTTTTTGAACAGTTTTTTTTCCACTGTAAAAAATAATGGAAATAGTATTCTTTTCTGAAATATATTC